TTACTGTGAAGAAGACACTAAAGTAATAGTCAATGCTCTAACTTCGGTACTGATGTAGCTATTCTTCAAGGCTTAAAATCTATTTTTATTTCGTCATGGATTTTGTCTCTTAACAACTCATTAGTTTCGTGACCATTGTTAGGTTTATTCCTTATTCGCTACGCCCACTTGTTTTAGGGTTCATAATCTATCGTAGCAAATACCATAGCAAACGTCATTTTTTCTACTAGTGTATGCCACCTTTCTTGCGTTCAGTTTTCTACTTTTGTTGTCACTATTTTTTTTAGATCATTGTCATTCAGGTAATGTGTAATGTATGTAGTTATCACTCCATATGCTCGGAATTCTTGTTGACTTACCCCAAAGCATGTTGGAGCATATATGTGCTTCATCCATTTGCTCTAGACTAATTCCGAGGTAAATTTATTGTCCTTTATTTACCACCTCTCTGCCCATTCCTCATTTTTTGACAAGATCATGAGTGATTTGTCAGTTTGGGTAGTATGGATGTTGTATCATGCTAAATTAGAGAGAATATGATAAATAGAATAAACACAATCACTTGCTTTACCATAATGATGTCTATGGCCAATAAATAATACGTCGTTCCCAAAACCCGATAGAATTTAGGAAATAATCAAAGATATCAAAAAGATATTATGCTAGGCATAAAATATATACTAAGCATAAAATATGGAAACTAAATATATCCTAATAATTTCCCAAAATATATCCTCCAATACCCCCCCTCAAGTTGGAGCATGGGGATTGTAATGCCCAACTTGGAAAGAAGATGATTAAACTGAGACTTCCCAAGCGCCTTAGTGAAAATATCTGCAAGTTGCTCCTTAGTGGAAACATAGGAAGGAGCAATTAATCCCTCTGTAATAGCATCACGAACAATGTGACAATCAATCTCATTGTGTTTTGTACGTTCATGAAAAACTGGATTTCGAGCTATATGTAAAGCAGATTGATTATCACAAAACAACTTGATCGCCTTAGGGTGTTGGACACCCAAACACAAAAGCAATGCCTTCAACCATTTCAACTCATGTGTGGTTGAAGCCATGCACCGATACTCATCCTCAGAGGAAGAGAAGGATACCGTGGGTTGCTTCTTGGTTCCACGAAATAGGAGATTTACCAAGAAAAACGAGCCAACCAGTCGACGAACGACGAGTAAGAGGACACGCCGCCCAATCTGAATCACACCAACCCTGTAAAGTCAGGTTACTATCTGCACTCAACAAAATACCCTGTCCTGGAGTACCCTTTAAATAACGAACCACCCTGAGAGCTGCTTCCCAATGCTCAATCCGAGGTTCGTGCATGAACTGAGAAAGAATATGAACCGAATATGCCAAATATGGTCTAGTCACCGAGAGATAAATCAACCGCCCTACTAGTCTACGATAAGACTCAGGATCCTCAAGTAACTCACCACTAGCAAGACTAAGCTTGTGGTTTTGCTCAATCGGAAAACCACTTGGTTTCGCACCCAATAGCCCTGCTTTAGAAACAATATTCAAGGTGTACTTTCGTTGACACAAAAAAAAAACCTGATTTACTACGAGCAACTTTAATGCCCAAAAAATATTTCAAAGGACCAAGGTCCTTCATCTTGAAACAGTCACCAAGATAAGCTTTGAACACAGTTAATGCAGCGGAATCATTCCTAGAAATAATAAGATCATCAACATAAACTAAGACATTAATCTGAACATTGCCTTTAGTGTATGTGAAAAGAGAATAATCAAAGTAAGATTGAATAAAACCGTACCCTTTCAAAGCTGTAGTGAGCTTTGCAAACCAACATCTCGGAGCTTGTTTCAACCCATACAAAGACTTTCTCAAACGACACACCAAACTCGAATCCGAGCTCTCAAAACCTGGAGGTAATTTCATGTACACCTCTTCTTCAAGATCACCATGTAAGAAAGAATTATGAACATCTATCTGTTGAATCTCCCAGTTTTTTGAAACTGCTATAACAAGAAAAGCGCGAACAATAGTCATTTTTGCAATCGGAGCAAAGGTCTCACCATAATCATTACCTTCTCTTTGATGATTACCAAAAACAACCAAACGAGACTTGAGACGTTCAATATCACCATTAGACAAAAATTTCGTCTTATACACCCATTGACAACCTAGAGCTTTCTTGCCGGGAGGAAGATGCTCCAATGTCCAAGTCCCATTATCTTCCAAAGCCCTTATTTCTTCTTTCATAGAACGTCGCCAACCTTTGGATTTCATCACTTCTTTAAAGGATTTTGGATCCTTTCCCAAAACCACGGCTGCAAGAAATTTGCGATAATTCACAGAAAACATGTCACAATTTATATAGTGTGCTAGGGGGTAAGGCTTACCTGAAGGAGGGATTGGAGACGAACTATTAGCAAAGACAGAGTGAGTAACATAATCACAAAGCTTCACCGATGGAAATTTTTCGCGACAACCCTTACCCATTGCCTCCGATTGAGGCTGCTGTGTAGACTGAGACTGATGCGTGTGACGGGCTACTGTGGAGTCGCAGTTAGAATGCTCGAGGGAACCGGGATGCTCGAGCGTAGTGCAGGCATGCTCGCAAGACCCAGCGGTCACTGGATTTCCCTCGGGCCGAGCATACACTAGGCTTGCGAGCTGGTCGTTGCAGGCAGCTGCCGCTGGATTCTGCCCAGCACCCGCAGCTGGATTCTGCCCAGCATTTGCAAGCTGCTCTGAGTGAGGAACAACATGTTCTTCATATGGGGCTGCTTGTTGTTCTTCACCGAAATTACCAGAAATTTCATCAAAAATTTCAGCACCAAACTCCTCATTTTCCGTAAAATCCTCATGAATGTCACAATTATTATCATAAATTGGAGAATTAATATTTACATCTTCCGGGCAACTAAACGGAAACATTTCCTCAACTAATTTCACATCACGGGACACAAAAAAAACTTTCGACTCAAGGTCATACAATTTCCATCCTTTCTTCCCAAAGGGATATCCCACAAAAATACATTTCCTACTTCGACTTGCAAATTTGTCCCCATTTGTTTTCTGATTATGAGCAAAACACAGACATCCAAAAGTACGAAGTGCATCAAATAAGGGAGGTTTATTGAACAAAATTTCAAATGGAGTTTTATTTCGTAGCAAGGAAGTGGGTGTACAATTAATTTGGTGCGCAACGGCAAGAACACATTCCCCCCAAAAATAAATAGGCAAATTAGCTTGAAACCGCAAAGCTCTCCCAACTTCAAGAATGTGCTTGTGTTTTCTCTTAACCCTCCCATTTTGTTGTGGAGTCCCCACACAAGAGGTTTGCAAAATAATACCAGTAGCACTAAAATAATTATGCAAGCAATTAAATTCAGTGCCATTATCACTTTGCACCACCTTAATTGTTTGAGAAAATTGTCTATCAACCATTGCAACAAATGCTAAGAACATTCGAAAAACCTCAGTTTTATCAACCAACAAGTAAATCCAAACGGCTCGGGAATAATCATCAACAATAGTAAAAAAATAACGAGCTCCACACGAAGAGACATGTCGATATGGACCCCACAAATCACAATGTATTTTCTCAAAAATCCTAGAAGCTCTACCATCACTTAAAGGAAATTTATCTCTATGATGTTTAGCACGCATACATACCTCACACCATTTAGCGAGACTATGTTTATTACTACTGACATGAGGAAGCAACTTGACCACTTTTTCGGAGGGATGACCCATTCGACGATGCCATAATTCCAAGGTCGAGATAGCTTCACCAACACCAACATGATTCGCCGAATCTGAATTGCTAAAATAGTATAGTCCGTCTCTCCTAGCTCCCGTTCCAATCAACTCCTTCGTTTGATCCTGTACAACACACATATAAGGGTTAAATTGGACAATACAATTAAGCTCATCGGTAATTTGTGACACAGAAAGCAAATTGCAACTCAAATTAGGAACATAAAGAACTCCGGTTAGGATTAGTTTATCCGACCAACGGACAGAACCAATTAAAGAAGCCAATACGGTATCGCCATTGGGAAGACCAACCGGACACTCAAAACTCTGAGTATCGAACAACCATGATTTGTCTCCGGTGACATGATGAGTTGCCCCTGTGTCAATAATCCAAGAAGTAACATCAAATTTTCCAGTCAAGCGAGTGTCGGGAACAGTGACATTACCGAACAATCCTAACTCCCCCCCTGACTGCCATAACCCTTACAACCTTGATCAGGGATCGCACAACTCTCTCCAAGTGATGTACGGACGACAGATCTAGGGGCCTCTCCGACCAACTCTGTGCGGTTGTGGTCTGGTTGTGCCGTGTGTATAGCAGTGATAGATGTTTGCGGTGGAGGTGTATCATCATCTCCCACCATCGTATGAGTTGAAAAAAAAAACACGAAATTTAACCTGCTCTTGATACCATGCTAAATTAGAGAGAATATGATAGATAGAATAAACTCAATCACTTGCTTTACCATAATGATGGCTATGGCCAATAAATAATACATCGTTCCCAAACCCGATAGAATTTAGGAAATAATCAAAGATATCAAAAAGATATTATGCTAGGTATAAAATATATACTAAGCATAAAATATGGAAACTAAGTATATATATATATCCTAATAATTTCCCAAAATATATCCTCCAATATATCGTTATCTGCTATTAGACTTAGTGAAGTAGACAAGCAACGAGAATTAAGGTTAGCCTAATTGGTTGGAGGCTCTCCTTTCACCCCTATGATAGGGATTTTATTCTCACCCCAAGCAAGTATGATCCCCAATTTCTCCTCTACTTACAAGGAAGTTCTCTTGGCCTTACCTAAAAGAAGTAGACAAAGGTTTGAAGCAATCAAATGATGAAAGTAATTGGATTAAATTAGTGGTCATTTATTTATAATCAAGCTTGGTATTACTACTTAGGATGCAATTCCAACACAACTATAAAGTTGAAGCATATACATGGAAATTGATATTAGCACACCATAAATTGTGAGAGAGCATAGAAAATTGTGCTCTCACATAAAAGGTGTGCATAAATCAATTATAGTGTGTCAAAATCATTTTTAGAAATTATATACTTGTTACATTTTTTTTTTTTTTTTTTTTTTTTTTTTTTTTTTTTTTTTTTTTTTTTTTTTTTTTTACAGATATATACTTGTTACTTAGGAAATAGAGGCTTGGAAATACATTGCTATTGAGACTTGTGACTTTGTACTAACAATGTTAATGAATTTTTCAGTGTTTGGCTTGGATCAACTATAACTAATGCATGACTTATTACTTTTAGCTGCTGAAATAGTTACTTGTATAGTTATATGCTACTTGTATGTGTTAATGTGTATCAAAGTCTATGAATTAGTGTCCACCTACAACTCCATGGTGGCTCCACCTCTTCAAAGGACTAACGGGATATGAACAAAAGTAGACTCTAACAATGTTATTAAATTAAAAAAAAAAAACATTAATTAATGTTATATTTTTATTTGTTTATTCTATTTGTAACTCGATATATTTAGCCCGAAGGGGATACATATCACGAGTTGTGAAAATAATAAAAGAAATACGGAGTAAATCTTAATTACGTCAATCAATGAATAATTTGTTTATAAATTCTTAAATTAATACCTACTCGTATTTAGGATGATATATTTTTTTTTTGAATAATAGGATATGATATTCTTTTTTTTTTAAACCTACGATATGACTTTTTTTTTTTTTTTTTTTTGACATATACATATGACATTCTTATGAAAATCATTAGCGTCATATTTCTCTTCATTCTATTAAATGCAACATACCTTCTTGACATTATTTAATATGATCATCAATGTAATATTCATTATGGGTTTTTTTTTTGAGAAAGAACATTATGGATTATTATTAGAGTGACTTGTATATAAATATAGAAACTTAAAAAAAAAAAAAAAAAGCCATTAGTGACTCCCATGTTCTATGAGCATAAGAACACCTACGGTTGCCACGTGTATAACTGCCGTATTACACGGGCCCGCTCAAATTGGGTCACCAACGGGGTTTCCGTTGAAAACCAAAATCCAAATTAAGCTTCCATTTTTTTTCCTCTTTCTGCTTCTCTCTCTCTCTCTCTCTTTTTTTTTTCTCCTGAAAATTTAATTTCAACCCAATTTTATTTTTTTCCCTAATTTTCACCCATTTTAATTTTTAATAATTTTATTGAATTATGGAATTTCGAAGGTAACGCACATTGTTGAATTTGTAAGTACTTTTTTTTTTTTTTTTTTTTAGATTTTTAGATTTTTTATTTTTATTTTGGTGTTATGATTTTTGTGGGATTTTTAATTGTTGAAATTATTTCAAAATTTTGTGATTTTTAGATAAATAGGATGTTGAAATGAAGGAGCAATCGATGACGAGCAAATCAGGCGAATGTTCTTCCCAGGTACTCGTAATTTCCTAATTATAATCATAATTATTTTTAATATTGAAATGTGCAATTTTATTTTTATTTTTTTAATTTGAAATTTTATTAGTATATTATTTAATCAATGTATTGATGATTTATAAAAAGAAAATTGTGAATATTGAATACCCTTGATTTTCAGAATTTATAAATGGGGTTTATTACAATTTTTGTATGATCAAGTTCAAATGTCAAGTTTATAATGTAATAAGTGGCATGACATTGTGATGATTTTAGGTACCATCACAAGGAGAGAATGTAACTGATACTTCTCCTCAGGCCGGGGCAGCGGAGCTTCAGACGTCACGGTCCCGGAATCAGGTAGTTGTGAAACTCTTCTTGTGTATCTGTGTACTATGTAAGGCTGTTCCATTGTTCCCTTAATCCCTTACTAATACTTTACATTTGATATAATGTTCATACATATTTAATTGGCTCGTAAATTAATCGATGAAATGTATAATTTGCTACATTTGATATATTGTTCATGTGATCTATGGTTTGTTTGTTCATTTATTGTAAATGAAGTAGTTGTGCTTTGCTGTTTTATCATGGAAGAATTTATGCCCTAATTTATAATGTATATTCTTGTGATTCTGATAGAAGTATAAGATAAGCGTTAATCATTTCAATTTCTTGCAGGTGTTCAAGAGTGGGCCTCTCTATATATCATCCAAAGGTGAGGCTTTACTGTTTTTGGTTGTTTATTGCACACTAAGATCGTTTCTTGTAGTACAAGGTTGTCTTAAACTCACATTGTCGTTTGCTTGAGATATATGGAGTAAAGTGACAAAAGCTAACTTATACAAAGTTCTTACATAGCGCTGCATATGTTCTAAGTTCTAACTGTCAAAGTGAATTTATATTGTGTGTTTCTTCTTTCATCCAGGAATTGGATGGACTTCTTGGAAGAAGAGATGGTTCATTTTGACCCGCACATCTCTAGTCTTTTTTAGAAGTGATCCCGTAAGCTCTCTGTCCTCTCTAATGAAAATTCCTTAATGCATGTTGAATGGTGTGAACTGATTGTATCCACGTCACGCCTGTTTATATATTTATGCTGTGAAACGATGCAAGATTAACAATGTGCCAAAACTGTTTGTGAAAACATGTGGTGTTTCTCTTTCCTACATCAGTCGAAATGGATCCCAAGATTACCTCCATGGGAAAAATTGAGTATTGCTAGCTTTATGTTATGCACATGATTCCTAGTGTTCCATTAAGGGTTCATGAGTTAAGTATCTTTAAATTGGTAGACTTAATTTGTACAAAAGTTAATGCTGTAAACGTGGATGACATGTCTGAAGTGGAACATTAGGGATCATATTGTAGGATTATCTTAGTAGACATATGCCAAGCTTTCTTGTTGTCCCAAAATTATGTAAAAGGTCTGTTTGTGGTGTCATAAAACAACAGCTATCTATTCTAGAACTACATTTGCACATCATTATTTTTAATAGTTATATTTTTTTGGGTTAAAAATCTTCCTAAATTTTAGTTCTGAAGTTGAACATCTAATATGAGACAGAGACTGTATATTCGAGAATGTACTTACCAGTTAACAAATTTCAAAAGCATATAATATTATAACTTTTAGTTTTTCATGAATGTCAACCACTGTATTTCAGTATCTGCAGTATTCCTTTCTCCAACACTGTCTCCTGTTTGTGTGAATGACAGAAAATCTTTATATTTTCCTTTTTTTAAATTTTTATTTATTTTATTCTTTTAAAAAAGTTTCCCCTTTTTCAGAGTGCAACACCCCAAAAGGGTGGTGAGGGGAATCTAACCCTTGGTGGTATAGATCTGAACAACTCCGCCAGGTTAGTGTGTTGTTTTGATTTTTTATTGTATCTTTATTACTATAAATTATTGTAATACTTGATAGTTTATTGTAATCTTGGGTTACTTATGAATTATGATATTGCACCCCTTACCATTTTCCACTGGCTGTGGTTAATGCTTCTTGTATCATAAGCATTGACCTTACAAGGCCCAGTGCTGGAAATTTGGGATCTATGTTGGGTGATATTGCTATTTTAATGTAACTTATGCTGTTGAACGAAGACAAATTCCTGATCTATCTATTTTATTATATGTTTTGTTAGTGTGGAAATCAAAACAGATAAGAAGCTATTGACCGTGTTCTTCCCTGATGGTCGGGATGGCCGAGCTTTTACACTTAAGGTGCTGCTTTAGTCCATATCATTTAGCAGCTGAAAGTGCTAATCAAAATATACAACTTCCTGTTTTACTGAAAATTATTTGTCTACCTGTTTCTTTTGCTTCACAGCTATCCATGTGTCATTCCTGCATTTTTTTTTTAAATAAATCTTTTGTTCTCTAATTTATCGCTAGATTGCTGATAAACTTGTTCTTGAGTTGATGAATATAGTTACTCAACTTATATACAATCCTGTGATAATTGTCAGTTTTGTAAATGGGCCTTTATATCAAAAAATAAAATTATGTGCTAGAGGATCTATAGAGACATAAATCATTTGTAATTGTTGATATAGGCTCCTATGTTAAGGATCTTCCCTCCCAAAGATGGAGCTTAAGAAATTATCACAATAGTTATACGACTTATAACTTATTCAAATCAACTTGTCATCAAAGCTTTCCTTTTTTTATTTTTTATTTTTGTTTTTGTTAGTGAGAAGCTTTCCTTTCTTTAAGAAGGTTGATATTTTAAGATTTGCAAGGGTAAGAAGTCAAGTTCTGCTTTAAGTACAAAGTTAAGAGCCTTTGAAATGTGGCTTAGAAATATTATGGACCAGAGGCTTTAACGAAGTAATTACCCCTTTCAGGATATGGGTTAAGAACTTCAAAAATTGAAGCAATAATCTGAGTTGTAGAAGAAAAGGTTGAGTGCATATTTATTTCCTTTGCTGACCTTTATAGCAATTTTGTGGTTCAAATGAATTTTGAGAAGTTGCCCATTTATGTTAAAATATAGTTGAATAGATTAATGCAAAGTATAGTTTTTTTGTTTCCTTTTACCCCTACAGTGAAGTAATGAAGAAAAGTAGGTTGACTTGTGCTGATGTTAGACAATCTTGTGCCTATTGCTGCAGGCAGAAACTTTGGAGGATTTACAAGAGTGGAAGACAGCACTTGAGAATGCTTTGGCACTAGCACCAAATGCAGCCCACAGCGCAGGACAAAATGGGATTTTAAAAAGTGAGCAAGTTGATGATGTTAATGGTGCTGCTGATCAACGTATGCTCTTGTTTTGTTGTCATATTCGGCTTGTCTGCTGCACTTTTGGTGTTACTTAGCTTAGTCTTTACATTGAGCCATCACTTCTTATAGCTGAGACTTGAGCTTTCAGATTAAATTCTTGCGGACTTCATTAACGATAATAAAAATCAAGAGTGTGTTATATGGTAAACATTTAGCCTTTGTACTCAGATAGTCAGATTTACGCCAGCAAACTATTACAGAACATTTCAATGTATTAGCTCCCATTTAAACGGCTAAACTGCTTTGGGATTTAAGTATTCATGGCTTTTAGGTTGATAGTGAAGGGGGTTGCTTTACTTGCTTGCTTATGCAATACCTTATACCTCTATCAACAATTTTGACTGAAATTCTTGTTTGATTATTGTTGATAGTGTTTTATCTAAAAAAAGTATTGTTTGGTCATGAATATTTAGAAGCTTTACTAAGAGCTAGCTAAGAAGCTCTTTTAGTGGCGTTCAAGTTGGATAAACTTTTTCCGTCTCATCTAGATAATTAGAAGATCTTTTTTTGTTGTTGTTTAACATTTGCTGTTATCAAGTTGATATGTCAATTTATTTGCCCTTGGCTGCAATTGTGTAAGTTTCTGTGCTGCTTAATGTTAGCTTATGAACATGCTCTCATTTCCTTGTACTTCTTATATAAAGAGAGGCGTTGGGGTAATATTATATTTCTTTTACAGATACTGATGGGCCACCTGGAAAATCTATGGTAATTGGTAGGCCAATTTTACTTGCTTTGGAAGATATAGATGGATCACCTTCTTTCTTGGAGAAAGCTCTGAGATTCATTGAAGATCATGGTAGAATCCTTTTTTCTTGTGATGCCTCTCAAAACTCATAGATTGAAATGATTTACTTGTAAATTATTATTCTGGTAGAATTTTATATTCATTTCACAGCTTCTCTCAAGCTTGGGATATCTTTAAAGAGTTGATAGTATGTATTGCTTGAACAAAATTTATAGCATCATTAAATCGGAACTTTCATGACACACCTCTGTTCTTTGCATACCGAGTCACTTATCTGAAAGGCATTTTTTTTTTGGAACTTACCCCTTTAGGATTAAGCTACATACTTGTTCTGGAATTTTGCTCATGTGAAAATAAATCTTTCTCCTCTTGTCGTTTTATTTCTTTTAAATTCATTTCCGATGATTCTGACTAGTTGGATTGAGAAGGCAGCAATTTTGAGTATTCTTGAATAAAAGTTCTCTTTTGTTCTGTCTAACTGCCTCTACCTTTTGTGATGACCGATACAAGCATCTTATGTAGCTATACGCCTATACTCAAGCAAATCGATTAGCACAGCTTTTAAAGGAATGACATTGATGCTTTTATCGCCTTACTTTATGTAATATGTTTTTCTCTTGCTTAAATTTGATTGATGGTGCAGGAGTCAATGTTGAAGGAGTTTTGCGGCAAGCTGCAGATGTAGATGAAGTTTATCGCCGTGTTCGAGAATATGAACAAGGTTTATTTAACCATCCTCTGTCCATTTAGAAAATTTATATTATTCTTCAAAGAAAAATCCTAGATGTGGAAAGTCTTGATTTATACATTACACAAGTACACAGTATGCCCCTTGATTCAACATTAAACTAAATTCAGGTCATCTAGCCTCATTCTTTTTGGTTTGCTGATGATCGAGGATATATAAAGGGACATGGCCCTTAAAAAGTTTTGTTAGGCTATTAGCTAACTAATGTGGTTTTCTTCACCAATCTGAAAAATTATGTGCATCAAATTTGTTTTATTGATGGTCTGAAACAGTGAAGACCTTACCCAAATAGTCAAAGGGTGTGAAAAATGGTTTTTATACTGACTGTTGGGTATCTCTGAGAAATCAATTATGAAACCAGCATTGGGTTTTGCTATTAGTTTTTTAAAAAATGCTTGCACCAAAGAGTGTTGTAATTTTCACATATATTTATAGGTCCTACATTCTCAACCCTTTGCTACTTTGAACAATTTGTCTAGGCTAAGGCAACATAACATGACCCAGGGTTATTACTAATCTGTTTACTAAGATACTTACATTACACTCATTTTGACAAATAGCACTGCATCCTTTATTTGTTGGCTTATTATAGTCTAATTCAATATGCACACAGGGAAAACTGAGTTCTCCCCAAGCGAGGATGCTCATGTCATTGGCGATTGTATTAAGGTATATCTTCTGATCATCTATGCTAGTAATTTTAAGTTTGCTACAGTAACATTCTCACATTATTTTCTAATTTGCTATCTTTTGGTGCAATCTTCAGTATATCTTAAGGGAATTACCATCTTCTCCAGTTCCAGCATCTTGTTGTAATGCACTGCTAGAAGCATTTCGTAAGTTGCCATAGAAATCTCTGTTTCTAAAATAAACATTTTGTTGTTGTTGGCACAATTATGTTATTGTCTTAAATGAATCACAACCATGAGGCTTGGGCCATTGTAAAGTTTTCCAGAGCATTTAACATGCCCACATTTCTTCTATTTGATTCTGATGCTTCAGATAATTTTAGACAGAATAATGTCCAAGTAAATGTTAATTGGCTGTTGTTATTTAACAAATGTGAACTATCATTTGTAGGAAGTGAACGAAGTAACAGACTTAATGCTATGCACACGGCAATACTTGAAACATTTCCGGAGCCAAACAGACAATTACTGCAGAGGTATGTGGTATAGATAATTTTACTTCATTCATGTGATGTGAGTTTTCTTTAGCCAGTTGCATATTCCTCTTAAGGTACAGATTTCTGCACCCGTCAATCATCAAAGGAGCATATGTGCAGTGCATTAGAAATTAGATGATATTTCGCCGCAATTATATAATGTACTGTCTTTTTCTTTTTAATCGCATTTCTACATTCCTTAGTCCCTTTGTTTGTATCTCCAGGATTCTCATGATGATGCAAAAAGTGGCTTCCAATAAGGCAGTAAATCGGATGAGCACATCTGCAGTGGCCGCTTGTATGTCTCCTTTGCTTCTGCGACCCCTTCTTGCTGGTGATTGTGAACTTGGAGATACACAAATGGATGTGGCTGGAGATGGTTCTTTCCAACTTCTTCAAGCAGCAGCAGCAGCAAACCATGCTCAAGCTATCATTATTACTCTACTGGATGAATATGACAAAATTTTTGGGGTAAACTTCAAGTTCCCTCTTTAACTTTTGCTTTGAGGATGAATCAGCAATTCTGTCCAAAATTACTTTTTGTTTGATTTCCTTTGCATTGTGTAGAAGAATTAGGTTTTTTTTTAAGATCACTTTCCTTAATGTGTCATAACTCTGTTGTTCCTGCATTCGAAGATCATATCTTGTTATTTGCCTGTTCCCTTACTTACTGTTGAAGTATCTACATTCAGGATTCAGCATATACATTTTGTTTTGGTTTGCACTTCATGCCCATTAAAATTCTTTTCAGGAAGGTTCGATGTCGGACAGTGGATTGTTCTCTGACTCAGATGAGAGTGGAAGCGGGACAGAGGAGGCCAGTGATGATGAAATGTATGAAGATGATGATGATTATATTGAAGATGATGATCATGAAGATGCATCAGATCACGATGAAACAGATGATGATTATGAGCATTCAGCATGTGAGACGTGTAGTGGCAGTGGTGACCATGGAGAGAGTGATTCTTACGATGATAAGGCTAGTACATTATTAGACTCTTGTAATTATATGCATATAGTTTTTGGCTACTATGTTATTTATTTACATACTTGATCCTAAATCAGTCACATGTTCTATAGAATTGGAATATTTACTGGCGCCATTTATTCAGCTCTAAAATTTTTAGCATCAACATAATCCCAATACACCTAATGAGCCTCCCACCCTTGGCCAGGGGTTTGGGGTGCTGAACATGTATAACTTTAACCTTGTGATAACAGAAAGGCTGTGTTTAGTTGACCCTTGTTTTCAAACCATACCACCATCTGCTACTGCACAATAAGATATTAAGCTGTCAAGTCTTACTTCAGGCATTCTACCTGTTCCATAGAATCTGCAACAGAAAAAACCTTCTGATACTACATTGCAGCGTTTAAACTCCATATGTCCACCATCCACATATTATGCCATAGGGAAGAACTTCAATAAGAGGTCTGGGGTCTGAAACAATCGTATAATATATTGGAAAGAAAATTAAAATAAATTGTTTACTGTGAACAAGTTTTATTTTCCAATCTGTCTCAGAACTCATTTGCAGTTTCATCTCATTTTCTCATATTAAGGACACATTCTCAGTTACTTCTTTTCCTCTTGCAAATTGCTTACATTACACACTCTCTAACTGCAGCATAGTGAAAGGTCCAGTTCATATTCAAGGTCTCCTGAACAAGTTCATGATTTTCTAGCAAGCCAGAGATCATCATCAGCTTCACCTCGTACTCCAGAATCTCAGCAAGATAATCTCCACATAGTTGACAAAAACACGAAAAGAAATAATGATACATCAGTGGCTATTGCCGACTCTACTAAAATGCATCGAGATATTCCAGCAGAGACAAGTTCCTTAAAAGAGTCTGATAGTTTAAGTCCACAAAGAGGCACCAAAATGTCAGCAACTAAGGTCCTTGGGTCCTCACAATTCAGACGTCATAGGTGGGGAAGAACATCGGTAAGTCTGTTGATTCATTATGCCTTCCCCACCTCTCTTATGGTTGATTTTTCTCGTTTTCTTACTTGGTATAGGATATGGGCTTATAAATAATCGGTTCAATAGGTTTTCTTCTTTTATAATAGTCTCTTATTGAATTCTCAAACTGTACTAACTACAACAATTTTCTGTCTGTTCTAGGCAAAAAAGAATCTTTCCATGGAATCAATAGATTTCTCACTTGAAGATGAGTAAGTTTTTCTTTGGCCATTCTGAATAATTACGTAATTATGTTTTATGTTTATATTTCTTACTTAAAGATTTTGTTCCTGTACTTGATCTTAGTGTCCTGATTTCTATGTACATGCATGATAGTTTTGCAATCTACTCACATCATATTCTTTTGTGCATCAAATTTTGCTAGTGGTTGTTCAGAATATGCCTCTCTAGTCTTAGAAATAAAATTGGTTATGGTTCTAGAGTTTAGAGTACTGAAATTTTTGCATTAGGTGTAAGAGTATTCAAGTTCGGATCCAAACTGATTCTGGCAAAATTAAGTAACAAGTCTCTGAAACAAGATGAAAAGAACAAGTTCAGATCTACCTGATATTGAGCTTTATTATGTTAAGGCCTAATATGATTACTAGTATCCTTCCGTTTAGATAATGTTTTTTCTTTCAATACATCAATAGTAAGTTCTGATGGTGTTACCTTGCTGGATAGAAAATATAATTAGTTGAAAAGAATTACTTCAGCTATTAAGGTGTAATATTGCATGTGAAAGGGGATAAAAAGTCCCTGACAGTTTTCCATTACATTGATATTGATTTGGCCTTGCCTTCATTGTAAAATGATCATGTATCTGAACTTTTGTTTGTTCTTTTACAGAAATGAAATCCAACGACTTGAGGCGACAAAGCTTGAACTCGAAAATAGAATTGAAGAGGAGGTACAACCGTACAAGCTCTTTCTTATTTTGGCATTGTATTTCTTGTTATTATCCAGTCATTTTATTTAATGATATTTATATATGTACTTCACACCTTGTTATAGGCTAACAATAACGCAATTCTACAAGCAAGTTTGGAGAGACGTAAAAAAGCCCTGAATGAACGTCGCTTAGCTCTTGAGAAAGATGTATGTTTTACAGTTTTCCATTTTTAACATTCGACGTTGAGGTCATGGAATTAATCACACTAGGGCCACCTTTGGGGAGGGATTCCCTTATCTTCCACCTCATCCCCAGGGTGCTTGGGCTGTTGTGATGGGCTGGTTACTTCCTGAGATAGGAGGCCCGGCCCAAGTAACGGACCATGAATTCAACAAAATTGGTCATATGGTTTTGGTTAAGGCATAAAGCTGCTTGAATTGATGGTGCACACAGGTGGCTAGGTTGCAAGAACAGCTACAAAAGGAAAGAGAATTAAGAGCAGCGTTGGAAGCCGGATCTGTGTTTGATATCTCCCAATTGCCTGTCTCTGTCAATGATAAGGTAAGTTGATGATTAAATATCTATGATGCAACTCATCCAACCAGTATCTTGATGTTCTCTTTTTTGTTCTGTGATTTTTTCAACATTATCTGTTCAAGACAAAGGTTGAGCTTCAGAAAATTTCTATAGCCGAGGAAAATTTTAGTAACTTGAAGCAGAGGCTTGATGACATTGACGCAGAGCTTATTCATCAACATGAGCAGACTGCATCCCATTTGCAGGATAGTAATAATAAAGTACAAGACTGTTTAAATAAAGGGAATATGTTGTAAGAACACTTACTCCATCCTTATCCTCATCCTTTTATAGCTTTATATGAAAGTATAATGTGAAACATAGTGCTTTACTAGCTGTCTTGTGTTGGACATCAACTCATCAAGTACCAGTTTCCAGTTACATGAAGATGATCGATTAACCAATCCTATGGGCAATACCCAGTAATTTTTATTTTTTGACATTGCAGGATATATAACAAGGACAATGAAATGAAAGACGAGTTACATCATGTCAAAATACCGAGTAAAATTGAGGTATGGCACCATTTAGTGTCAGTAAATTTGAGATTGAACCTGTTAAGTGGCTAGCAGCAGTAAGTAGCTCAAGTGTTGGGACATAATTATGCATAGTTTTGATTGAGTTCGTATCCCTCTCACCCTTTGAAATGCGCGGAATGAGTATCCAGAGAGGTTTTCAATTTGAATGGAGTTGTTTCTTAGCTCTGTTTTTTTAGTTGTCAATGGGTTTAATTACAGGATTTGTTTGTGTTGGTTTATCGCAAGTATATATAGGGGGATGGGACTCTACTCACTCCATACCACATTGCATATTTTCATGTTCTATTTGATTTTTTTGCAAATGCCAAGTGTAATGACCAAATAAGATTTAATTAGTAGCTTTTTAAAGTACTAGGAACATATCACAATGCTCAGGTCAGTGTGCATCTTTTTAAATAAAAGGGACAATCGAATGGGACAAATCAGGAGGTCATTGTAAGTGGAAGCAGTATCAATTATTTGTGTTTCAGATTTGAGTATTGAAAAAGATATGGTGAGGTAGCATTGAGCCATTGAATCTAGCTGTATGAGTTTCTTTTGTGCTCTTGCTATTAAGGAAGCAAGTACTGTAGAACCTATTACTGTTTCTGTGAAGCTTTTAGTCATTTAGTATTGATATGACCTCTACTATATCAGCATTTGTATGAACAACTTCTTATGTTGTGAAGCTGCATTCAGATGATTAATTCTTATACGCATGTCATTCCGTTTGCCTTTTACTCTTTTAGTCTGTGAGATGTTTATATACCATCAGTTGTTTCAAGAGTATTAGCTTATTAAAGTAAGTTCTTTCAGGGACAGCAGAGCTACATGGATGACATTGATCGGAAAAATGCATCAGCAAAGGTAAATGGAGTTGGCCAGACTATTTATAGTGTTCAATGTGGAATGCTTATTTATCAGCAGTTATTTTATAAGCTTATTGAGTATAGATTGGGCTGCCTTTTGGTTGAGTGTGTGATTTTACCATTAGCCATTATTTTGTTGATAAGCTAACGATTGAATTTTCAGGGACGGCAGAATTATAAATTGGACGGAACTGATCGTGATAATGATAGAAAAAATGAATCCTCAAAAAGTAATCAACCAAATGATTTATCAAGAGATATTTCCAAATTGGGATTGCTTCCGAATAATGTTTCATCAACGGAAGCCCCTATCCCCAAATCTTATACCTCTAGTACAAAGAGGACGAGTTCAAAGGGCGAGGTAGGTCTATTCTCCATTGCAAAATTCCGCAAATGTTTTCTTTCAATTCTTATGTTCCAAGTATATCAGAAGATTTCATTCCCTGCTAGAAGTAGGGGCTTTATAATGTGATGGTTTTCATCTATGAAAAGATCATTCTAAGACATCATTAAAATATCTTGGATCTTCAGCCAATCACTTCCTCATTGAATGTTGTGCACTGATGAAGATCCAAGATATTCTTCTTCCGACTTTGAAGGCCTATCTACTAAATTACCTTTCCTATTGAGGAATTAGTTCATTCCTTAGAAAAGGACGTCGAAGTGAATTAGTTTTGGCCTTGTACCACAAAGAATACCCTCCGGACATTTCCGACCTAATTTTATGTTACTTTATTATTATATTTCACTTCAGACACTTAATACTTCAATTTGAAAAAATATATGTTTTTGTTAAAGAGCCAACATACTTGTGCCTGATACAAGTAACAGATCCAAGTAAACATAGGCCTTAAGTGAATTGTCAGTTTCTAATTAAGTCTAGTAACTTTTATAGTGAGTGGTTGACTATGGAAGTTGAAGTTCCTAAATGAAAATCTACATGTGCATAACAGGGAAGCAGCTCTACCACCTCTGCACTGTCCAAACTGACAACCCGGCTCAACTTCTTGAAGGAAAGGCGTACACAAATCGCAACTGAGCTCCAAAGCATTGACAAATGCCGAGGATCATTAACCCAATCCATCCTAAGCCCTGGGAAGGGAAAAGTTCCAGAACCTATCCACACAGTCCATACTCCTGACAAAAATCAAGGTCCTGAGGGTAACTTCTCGAGGAACCCTGAAGATCGTGTGTATCAATCATCACATAGTTCAGGCAAGGGTTCTGCAACAGAAGTTGATAACAGGGACAGCAACAAAAAGACTGATAATAGGGATATTGATAATAAGGGTTTAAGCTCAAAGTCAGATGCTTCATTGCCACAGAATCAGCAGCAACCCGATAAATATAAATCAGAAGGAGGACAATCCTCATCAAAAAAATCAGATAAAGGTCGACGACAAGATGGTCAGCAATCTAGTACCTCCAGGACACTATCCAGATGATTAGTAGTCCAGAAATATGGCGGTTTTCTATTCTTTGACAGTCATTCAACAGGATTTTTCATTTTATGTGACTCCATCATGCTTATGATTAGAATCAGATTGATAGATTAGTGTATACTTTATAGTGGTGACTTCAATACACAGTGTCCAAACCACATTGAACCCTCTTTGTACAGAACCACAGGTGGCTGACTTTTCTTACAGTAGAAATTGGGAAATTCTGATTTTATAAAATTAACGTTTCCATTTTACCAATATTTGACATCGTACCAAATACATTATTTTAGTCTATCAAAAATTTATTCGTAGCATTTTTTTTCCTTTTTACGCAATTTATGAGTTGTGTTCTGTAATCTTCTACAGTCCTACACTCCTATTTGAGTTAATTTTATCCAGCTGATCTTAATTCTGTTCTGTATACAAAGCATTATTTCAGTCACCTTTTTACTTTCATCAGTTACTCAATATATTTTACATTGCTGTACAACTACTCACAAACATTTTGAAGATCACTGCTATTAGAGTGAAAAAGTTTAATAAACTATAATTTTTTAAAAAAATTCTCATGATCAGCTGTAATTTCCTTACAGTATCGTCTGTCACGGTTCCTGCATAGGGGATAGTCCTGCAATCTCCTTCAGTGGCTTCCACATGAACTTTCTCCTATTTGCATAATACACCAAGATGAATATAATCAATGTCAGCAACAAATTTTCAGATCCATGAAAAAAATCATTGCACTAAAGTCATATGTAAGGTAACCCAAAATCTGAACAGCATACCAATTACCACACTCTGCTACTACTCGGACTTTGGGTCGAAGAGATGGAAGCAGTGCCAGAAATTGCAGCTCTGATTTAGAAAGAACCTGGACAGAATCACATAATGCAGAATTTAGTATCACTGACTTTCTGTTGTAACTGTCAAATAAAATAAGATGTCCTCTTCCTGAAAGAAGGAAATAGTTGAATTACCTTGGCTTCAATGACCCAGACAATAAGGCCCTTAGCATCAGAAGGAAGAGCTTCAAGTCTATAATCAACTTCCGGAGGAAACCACCACCTCGCTATGGGTTGCTTCCCAAGATGAGGCTGAAAATCAAATCAATTATGCTATGTTTGGATAAGAAATTAGAAAGGAAATGGAAGGGAGGTAAATGGGAGGAAGGGGAAGGAAGGGAAAGTGGAGGAAATGATGAGCTTCATTTTCCCTCCAAATCTCTCCAATTTTGAAGGGATGGTCTTTATCAAAGGAGGAGGGAAAATGGATCTCTCCCTCCCCCTTCCCTTCCTTCCCCCAACATATTATCCAAACAAAGAACTTTGTATCCCTCCCTTTCCCTTCCCTTCCTTTCCTTCCATTTTTTGTTATCCAAACATAGCCTTAAAGAGAAAAAAAATTAGTTGAAAGAGGTAAACTTAGGCTAGAAAGCTAATAATTTCGGTTTGTCAGCCTATATTACTCAGACTTGTAATTTCACCTCAAGTACCTATGTCAGATCCTCTACATTCCAACATACATATATTTCTTCACACTTACTTCTGAAGCAATATCAGACTTTTGTTTTTACATCATCATATATTTTATATGAAACATCTGTGTCTAATAGACAAATACCTATGTCCTACCAGTACACGTCGGAGTAACATAATTTTCTGCAGTGTAAGTCATCTCTGCAGTTTTTCTTAGCATAAAAGTTCATGTCATTCACATTACTGACTCATAATATACAAGCTACAGTTGTCAGAGTAGATCAATAGAACAGTACAAAATGCTGATAGATCAGAGCAGGATTTTCAGACTCACAGGGCAGACAGGGTGAATCTTGGTGAGGGTGGATTCCGGGTCTCCAAGTCCACGAGCTGAGACATCGAGAAAGTGATAGCCTAGACGAGTAAGGCGGTTCAGGTACCGGCCTTCATAACCACCCTCATGTGGGGTGTATATAGCAAGGGCCTTATGCTCCTCCACATCTGATAACCATTTTCCTATATCAGGCTTCAGAAGATCACCTCCTATGAAATCTACTATCCCAATTCCACTACTACTACACCTGACTACACTCACAGCTCTCCTTTGCACCCCATTTCGGCTTCTCGAGGACTGCTTGATCATGCCATTTGAATTGGTGATGCAGTTGAGTACACTGCTTGGTAAATGCTGCCTTTTCTGCTGGAAATTGGAGGATGGCATCCCATAATACTGTAAGGAAGTCATGGTAGCCATACTTCTTTTTTTTTTTTTTTCTTTCTCTTTTTAATTTGTTTGTTTTATTTTGTGAAATAATAGAATAGATTAGAGGTTACAAAGGACAAAGCTGAGGTAATGTGTTTAAATTTTGTAAGGTGTATAAGGAAGATAAGGAAGAGTTTGGCTAAAGCAAAACTGTTTTTTGTGGAAGTCTTTTAGCTATAGTTGAGTAGACTCATACTAAATGGACCCAAAATAGTTATTTTGTTGTTATTATAAAACTATTTAATTACAAATTAACCAATATTTCAAAATTATTGTAAAATTAAAATATGGACACTTTTATACATAATAACTAAGTCTCCAAATATACTTATTTTTTATTCATCTAGTTCATACTTACATAGTTTATCATTCGTTCAATTTTAAGTCGGTTTGTTATTATCCGAATCTATTGTTTATGAATAAGTTAATATATGAGTTTATATCTAAGTTTGTTGTCCACAAGCTTGTTATTCACATAATGAATTATTCATTTCATAATGGGTCCGATTGTGGCTATTTGAGTTTATGTTTACATGCAACTAAGTGCAATAAGCCATTATATAATGGCATGGCATACATAATAGCATATTGCACTTTGTTGCATGTTTGTGTTTACAATTATTACATCAAGAAAAATATGCTAAAAAAATGCAAATTACAATTGATTAAGACAAAAAAAGATTTATACTTCATAGTTTCACAAAACACACACACACACACAAAAAAAAAAAAAAAAAAAAAAAAAAAAAAAAAAAAAAAAAAATTAAAAAAAAAATAAATTCATAAATTACAACCTATTCTAATTTAATCTCTCACTCAACTGGTAAAAAAACTTCATTAGTCCTCAAAAATGGCAAAGTCCAAGGAGGATTATATCTAGCTAACAAATGCTCCCCAATCACTTTATACCCATCTTTCTCCAAAGCAACCCTCAACCCCTCCACCTTATCCTTCACCACACCATCACTCGCAACTCCACTAAACTTCACCACACCATACTTCCTTTCCCCTTCTTCTTTAATCACCACCCTCTCACCCAACGGCTTCGGCGCGTCTTCAACTCTTTTATACTTATCAGGCAATATAAACTGCATTGTCACCATCTTCTTTTCCCCGCCTTCGCTATCGCCACTCCTTTGCTCTTTTGTTACAACTGGGGCTGTCATAGCTATCTTCTCCCCGACATCCACGGCCTTAGATTGTGTTACAACTGGGGCTGTCATAGCAACGCTTTCAGCTTTGGTGTTCTGAGGATTACCCAAAGCACCAATGTAATTGGCTAATATGGTGAACCCACCATCTTTGTTGCCATTCATTTGGGTTGGATCATATGTTACTTCGGCTATAACTGATGATGGGTACTTGCGTATTTCATACTCGTTTGTTGATTGTAATACTTCATGTTTTGGGGTTTCTACTGTGATTTTGCCCAAGATCATACCCATTTTTGTTTAAGGATTTTTGGGTAGTTTTGAATTGGGTTTTTTATGAAATGATTTGGGTAAAATGTAAAATTGATTGAGATTATATTGGGGTGTTTTGGTGTCAAGAATGTTCTACTTGTTGCGTTCTCCTTTACTTGAGGAAGGGGTAGTAAGGTGATAGATGACCATTTGGAATTTTGTTTGTGGTTCGTATGAGAGGCAGGAGTTGCGGACATTCTTTCTCCACGTCCCATATTGATCTGGATGCATTTTAAGTAGACCCGTCAAAGCGGTTGATCGGGTCTGTTTCGGGTTAGGTCAAATAGTTTTAATTCTAAGTCATTTTTGGTTATGGATTATATATCAAGCATAAACTAGCTTTTTGGCCCGTTCAATGCACGAGTTGTTACTTGGGTTAATTATTTTCATGTCGGAAGATTATTTCATTTCTAAACTTAAAAGAAATTAAAAAAAAGTGAGAGAGGGTAGAACCATGAAAGAAGATGAATGAATTTAGTTAGATATATACACGTGAAGATTGTGGGATATAAAATGACATATTATTTTAAATTATATTTAAAGTCTTAGAGATGAAAAGACAATTTTTATTATAATTTATATGTTTATGTAATGTGTATTAATTAAAACATTATTTTATTATGGTGGAAATAAAACACTTCATTTTCTTAGTTGAATTTGCAAGTTGTATGATGCATAAAGACTTAAACATAAATAGATGAGTAACTTGTGAATTGTAATGCCATTTGTCATATGAAAAATTTGTGGTTTGTGTTTTTAAATACTAAGTATAGATATAGATGTGAAAATGAAGATGAAATTATGTAATTAAACAGAGTACTAAAATTTTTGAAATATGAGTAAACTTGTGGAATTACTTTCTCCGTTCTAAATTAGATGATAAATTTAACTTTGTGCACTATTCACATAACCTCTTTTTTTCAGGATTGTGGGATCCTCATCCATTCTCGTTTCCAAGGCTACAATACTCAAAAAACCGAAGGTTAATCTATACACTTTCGGACCAATTTTAAGTTTTTTTTTTCCTACCCAAATTGAAATGAAATTAGGGAGAAACTCGGAAGTCATAGTGTTGAACCATAACAGGTAAACCAACTGGTCTGTAAAATATTGAAAAAGAGTTTGAATTCAATTATAGCGATTTCAGAATTATATCACAACCTAGATCATTATAAAAAAAAAATTGCAATGATAACAACAATCCTCAGTACCTTTTTTAAAAAATCACAATAACAAAACCCCAGCTTACACTACATAATCCTTTGAGGTACTCACTAAACTTTTCGATATCTATATTTGAAATGGTAAGGTTGTAACCAGAACATAGATAGTCTAAAGCACGTCCACCACTTGGGGATTATGAAACTTGGTTGAGGGTTGGTCCTGGCGTCCTGCACCCAATAAACCAAGATTTCTCAATCACATCTAACGAGTAGAGTTATGGTAAAAGTGTGTAACATACAGATATAGACCTAAAACAAAAGCAAATTCCAATATAACTAGAATAAGCACTAGAGATGCTTCAAAAATAAAAAAAGAACAAGCACTAGACATAAACTTTAATACTTTACAATCACTACTCTGTACTTCATACAAATAAGCAGGTTCATTTCAAGGCTAGTGTGAGATTTCAAAATGTCACAAAAACACAAGGCCAATGCTTCTATGCTAGTGAACAATACTAACAAACAAGAGTTCCATAATCTTTTACAGATATTTTATCCAAACTTTTAGGTCCAAGGAAATATTTTTCAACAACAGAGAAGCTCTCAGATATAAAATTCTTTGTATAATGTTAAATGCTTTTACAACCCACACTACTAATATTTATTTTAATCAATTATATGTTTATTCTCTCCCCCCCCCCCCAAATAAATCCTAATTCAAAGAGTGACTGATAGTAAGTTCCAAGGGAAATTAATCAATTTGAAATAATAGACCGTGCTACTTTGAAATCAGATGGTGTTTTTCGCAGTAGTCCAAGAGGTTGGTTTACTTTTGGCCATGCTTCCTTTGCCCTACTCTTTTTCTTCGGACACATTTGGCACGGGTCTAGAACCTTATTCAGAGATGTTTTTGCTGGGATTGACCCCGATTTGGATGTTCAAGTAGAATTTGGCGCATTCCAAAAAATTGGAGACCCAACTACAAGAAGACAAGGAGTTTAATACAACATTGCTTTTTTGCTTCTATTTTTTTTTATTTGACAGAGGATACTAGAGCAATCTTGATTTGAATTACCACCGTTTTGTTATCATTATTGGGAAAATAATCTCAAGTAAACAGGTATGGAAGCTATAATTGTAAACCACAATCGAATCTATGGAAGCATTGGTTTATACATTTCTATTAGTCTCTACTCTAGGGATAATTTTTTTCTCTATTTTTTTTCGGGAACCTCCTAAAATTTCAACTAAAAAATGAAATGATTTTTCATCATTTCAATTGAAGTAATGAGCCTTCCAATATTGGAAGGCTCATTACTTCGACTAATCTCCGTGTTCCTCGAAAGGATCTCTTAGTTGTTGAGAGGGTTGCCCAAAAGCGGTATATAAGGCATACCCGGTAAAACTTACAAGTAAACCAGATATAAAGATGGCGACTAGGGTTGCTGTTTCCATTATTATATAATTTTAAGACCACAATGGATCTATGATAAAATCATTTATTTACAACGGAATGGTATACAAAGTCAACAGATCTCAATGAATATAATCGAATTTATGGCTACACAAACCGTTGAGAGTAGTTCTAGATCTCGTCCAAAACCTACTACCGTAGGGGTTCTTTTGAAACCCTTGAATTCGGAATATGGTAAAGTAGCTCCTGGGTGGGGAACTACTCCTTTGATGGGAGTTGTGATGGCTTTATTTGCAGTATTCCTTTCTATTATTTTGGAAATTTATAATTCTTCCGTTTTACTGGATGGAATTTCAATGAATTAAATCCACAAAAACAAAAAAATGAAAGACAAAAGAACCGGAAAGTTCTAGCCTTTCAATACAAACAATACAAAGTGCGTTTTTTAGACTCCGATTTTTATCCCCTTTTGGTAGTTCGATCGCGGAATTTCTTTCTGTATTTCCGGAATATGAGTGTGTGACTTGTTAGAATGGATCCTATTGATAATACAGAAAATGAGTCTGTCATCTTATCCTGATAGAGATGGTTATACCTCGTTGGATATTTTTTTTGGTATCTGAAACACGGAATAGCTAAAATAGATCAAACAATATTTGAACTATGATTCATATTTAATATTCAGACCTCGAGATCGGATTCAGAAAAATTTGCTTTTCAAAGAAAGAATAAAAAGGTATAAATCGAAATCTTTTTTCGTTCAAACTCCTTTTGATGCCTTTTTTGTTTAACCAACAGACAAATTTTTTTGTATTATTAGTTATAATTATAAAATAATACCTATCCTATTGATTTAATAAGTGATGATCCAATGGTTCTTACTCAAGGAATCTTTGTGCTTAGCTTTAGGGTTTTATTGAATCATCGTGGTTCTAGTATGAATCTGGGGTTCAATCGATTCATAGGGTCTTAACAAGAGAAATTCCTATCAATGATAAAAAAGCAAAAAAGTCGCATTATATACAAATACAAAAATAACAAATGAAAGAAAAAAAGGAAAAGAGAATATTCAAGAGGCCTGTAGTAACAATCAAGAGAAAGACGAATGCGCCGACTTGATATTTTGGCATTATGAACACAAAGAAGAACTTTTGGATTTTTATCCCTTCCTATCTTCCGAAAAAAGAAAACAGGGGATTACGAAGTTTGCAACTTTCTATTCTAATTTAATCAGTATTTGGGTGTGTCTGCTTGAGCTGTACGAGATGAAAGTCTCATATACAGTTCTTAGGGGGGTTTAACAGTTTACCTATCTCAATAAAGTCTATGATTGGTTCGAAGAACATCTCGAGATTCAGGCGATTGCGGATGATATAACCAGTAAATATGTTCCTCCTCATGTAAACATTTTTTATTGTCTAGGAGGAATTACACTTACTTGTTTTTTAGTACAAGTAGCTACCGGGTTTGCGATGACTTTTTACTATCGTCCAACCGTTACTGAGGCTTTTGCTTCTGTTCAATATATAATGACTGAAGCCAACTTTGGTTGGTTAATACGATCCGTTCATCGGTGGTCGGCAAGTATGATGGTTCTAATGATGATCCTGCATGTATTTCGTGTGTATCTCACCGGTGGGTTTAAAAAACCACGCGAATTGACTTGGGTTACGGGTGTGGTTCTGGGTGTATTGACCGCCTCTTTTGGCGTAACTGGTTATTCCTTACCTCGGGACCAAATTGGTTATTGGGCAGTCAAAATTGTAACGGGCGTACCGGATGCTATTCCTGTAATAGGATCACCTTTGGTAGAGTTATTAAGTGGAAGTGCTAGTGTGGGACAATCCACTTTGACTCGGTTTTATAGTTTACACACTTTTGTATTGCCTCTTCTTACTTCCGTATTTATGTTAATGCACTTTCTAATGATACGTAAACAAGGTATTTCTGGGCCCTTATAGAATAGAAAAAGTATATCATAGATATTTGTAATCAATCATTTATTACTTGAGGGAAGAACAATAGTATTTCATTGCTACATGTATGGATTATTGAAAATGATAATCTATGTATTTGGACATTTTCCTTCAACTTCATAATTTTTTATTTAGTTAAATTTTATGTTTAGTTATTTAACATAACTAGTTGAGGGTAATTCTACGAAATGAAAATGGATTATGGGAGTGTCTGACTTGAACTATTGATTAGGCCGTGCAGGTATATGTCCGTTTCTGTCACATTAAAATTCATACTCAAATGTGTCTTTTGTCCAATCGCCATATAAGTAAGTCCTATAAAGAGGATAGGTTGGTTCGTTTCAAGAGAATCTATTCTATGATCAACCCTGAATCATGTGATGAATGAACGGGCTCCGTAAGATCCAGTCGAGTGTGTGATTTTGCATAATATAATCTAGATTATATTATTATTTTATTAATAGTTTGAATAGTATTGAAATGCATTCATTTCCTTTGCATTGACTTGATCTATGATACTATCGGAGTGAAACCAGGGATCTAAAGAACAATAGAGACTAGGCTATATTAGTAACAAGTAAACCCTTTATTTGTAATATAAATATATAATTTTCTATTTTATAGAAAGTCAAAATATCCAAAATACTTGGAGATAAACACCAATTACAAGGTATGAGACGACCCAAAAAGCATTTGAGCATGATCAACTTTGTAAGCCTACTTGGGTGTTGAGCATTTATTTGTAAGAGCAGAATTTCTTTCCATGTATAATTACAACTTTGGAAAGTAGGATTTAATAAATAGGTTCTTACAGGGAACCTTTTAGATGGATAAGATCCATATTCTGGATCCATTTGGTTCTTTTGATTATTGCTCGAGCCGAATGATGAAAAATTCTCATGTCCGGTTCTTTGGGGGGATGAATCGAATCTCTAAAACCTGACTTGAATGATCCTGTATTAAGGGCTAAATTAGCGAAAGGCATGGGGCATAATTATTACGGGGAGCCCGCATGGCCTAATGATCTTTTATATATTTTTCCTGTAGTAATTTTAGGTACTATTGCGTGTAACGTAGGCTTGGCAGTTTTAGAACCATCAATGATTGGTGAGCCGGCGGATCCATTTGCAACTCCTTTGGAAATATTACCTGAATGGTATTTTTTTCCTGTATTTCAAATACTTCGTACAGTGCCAAATAAGTTATTAGGCGTTCTTTTAATGGTTTCAGTACCCGCGGGATTATTAACCGTTCCTTTTTTAGAAAATGTTAATAAATTCCAAAATCCATTTCGGCGTCCAGTAGCTACAACTGTCTTTTTGGTTGGTACCATAGTAGCCCTTTGGCTGGGTATTGGAGCAACATTACCTATTGATAAATCCTTAACTTTAGGTCTTTTTTAAATTGATTCAATTCTGAAATAACACGACGTGTGTATCTAGGGAATAGTCGCTTCGAAGTGAATTTTCCCTAGATACACCTATTCAAGTCATTTTTTTTTCATATTTTTTTTAATCAATTACGAAATGCTTTTCTAGAGTGCCAAATATTTGTTTTACGTCTTCTATACGAAAATGCTCGATTTTAATAAGATCTTCTTGGTTGTTATTCAATAGGTCCGATAATGTGTGTATATTGGATTTTTTGAGGCAATTGTAGATCCTAGGTGGCAATTCTAATTGGTCAATAAAAGTAAATTTCAATGCTATTTTTTTTTTGTTTTTCCGTATTTCAGTCAATCTATTGTGAAAGGTAAAAAAGGGGAAAGAAACTTTGGGCTAATTGTCCTCTAAATCTAAGTTTTCTTCTTCTGCATGTAAAAAAGGAATCAATAAATCAATTAAATTCCGGGAGGCTTCATAAAGTGCTTCTTTTGGAGTTAAACTGCCATTTGTCCATATTTCGAGAAAAAGCATTTCTTGTTTTTCATTCCCATTTCCATAAGAATGAATACTATGATTCACGTTTCGAACAGGCATGAATAGAGCATCTATCGGATAACTTCCGTCTTGAAAGTTATGTGGTGCTTTTATATGATATCCGCGATTTCTCTCAAGTTGTAATCCAATACACAAGTCAATTGGTTCCGTCAAGCTAGCTATATGCTGTGTATTATCAACTATTTCTACATAAGGCGGCAAGATGATGTCTTGTGCAGTTACACATCTGGGGCCCTTAACACAAATAGACGCCTCACAAGTTCCATATAGATTACTTCTCAATACTATTTCTTTCAAATTCATGAAAATTTCATGTACTGATTCTTGAATACCCAATATGGCAGAGTATTCGTGTGGTATTTTTTCAGATTTTGCACGTGTGATACATGTTCCTTCTATTTCGCCAAGCAATGCTCTTCGCATCGCAATGCCTATTGTATCAGCTTGACCTTTCATAAGTGGAGAGAGAATAAAGCGACCATAATAAAGACATTTACTATCTGTTCTTGATTCAACACACTTCCACTGAAGTGTCCGAGTAGATACTCTTATTTTCTCTCGAACCATAGTAATATTTTACAAAATTGATCATATCTTTGAATCATTTATTTCTCTTGAAATATCTTCAATTGTGATTTCTACACACGTCTTTTTTTAGGAGGCCTACAGCCGTTATGGGGCATAGGGGTTACGTCTCGTACGAAACTTAACAGTATACCGCTTCTACGAATAGCCCGTAATGCTGCATCTCTTCCGAGACCAGGACCCTTTATCATGACTTCGGCTCGTTGCATACCTTGCTCTAACACCGTACGAATAGCATTTCCTACTGCAGTTTGAGCCGCAAACGGTGTCCCTCTTTTTGTACCCCTGAATCCACAAGTACCGGAAGAAGACCAAGAAACTACTCGACCCCGTACATCTGTAACAGTCACAATGGTATTATTGAAACTTGCTTGAACATGAATAATTCCCTTTGGTATTTTACGTGCACTTTTACGCGAATTAATGCGTCCATTTCTACGTGAACCAATTTTTGGTATAGGTTTTGCCATATTTTTTCATCTCATAAAAATAAGTCAACGATATATGGATATATCCATTTCATGTCAAAACAAATCTTTCCGTTTTTTATATCAATCAAATCTTTTAGCAATTCTTTCTAGATAGTTCCTTTTAGTTTTTAGTATAGTAGTTATCCTTGTCGTTGTTTGTGTTTTGGGTTAGAACAAATTACTATAATTCGTCCCCGTCTGCGGATCAGCCGGCATTTTTCACAAATTTGATGAACAGAAGCTCTTATTTTCATATTTTTTATTCCGTTGTTTTTATTTTGAATCTAATTCTTGGAAGAAAATAGGTTTTTGAATATTTTGAATCTCGAATTGTATTCTTATAGAAAGGAGTGTTGAAGTTGAAAAACTATCTAATCGTTCGAATCCTTGTTGCGGAGTCTATAAATTATACGACCTTTAGTTGAATCATAACGGCTTATTTCAATTTTAACTCTATCTCCCGGTAGGATTCGTATAGAACTACGTCGTATCCTTCCTGAAACATAACCGAGAATAAGATCTTCATTATCTAAACGAACCCAGAACATACCATTAGGAAGTGATTCGGTAATCAAACCTTCATGAATCCATTTTTGTTCCTTCATTCCAGACAAAACCCCCTTAAAGTATCAACTAATAGAGGAATGATATTAGACAAGCTGTCTTTTCTCTTTTTTTGTTCACAAATCGAAAATTTTGGATCCAATTCAGATAGTATAGGGATTACCATATATAACATAAAATTTCTCCGCCAATTCGTTCTAGTCGAGCCTCTCGATCCGTCATTATACCTCTAGAGGTAGAAAGAATTGCAATCCCCATTCCACCTAAAATTCTAGGAATTCGTTGATAGTTCGAATAAATTTGTAGACCAGGTCGACTGATCCTTTTTAAATGGAAAGTATTTTTATAAGGGGTTTTCTTATTTCGTCTATGTCGCAGAGTTAAAACCAAAAAGTAGTTGTTTCTTTCTTGATGTTTTCTCGCATTTTCGATAAAGCCTTCTCGTAAAAGTATTTTAACAATGTTTTCGGTGATTCCAGTAGATACTATTCGAACCGTTCCTTTTCTATTCATGTCTGCATTTCGTATCGAGGTTATTATATCAGCAATAGTGTCCCTACTCATGATGAACTAAAATAAGTGGTTCCCCAAAAATTTGATATAATCAACATGCCTTTTTTTTAGTTTAGTATTCAATTTTTAATTATAAAAAACTTCAAAATGAAAGATATATACGTGATACACAATCTCCTATTGTTTTTCAGTCAAATACCCTACTTCTCATCTTATAATACCTCAGGAGCTAATGAAACTATTTTAGTAAAGTTTTGTCTCAATTCCCTGGCAATTGCACCAAAAATTCGAGTTCCTTTTGGATTTCCTTCTTGATCAATGATAACTGCGGCATTGTCATCATATCGTATTATCATACCGTTGGCGCGTTTGAGTTCTTTACAGGTACGTACAATTACAACTCTGATCACTTCTGATCTTTCTAAGGGCGTGTTGGGTATTGCTTCTTTAATCACAGCAACAATAACGTCACCAATACGAGCATATCGGCGGTTGCTAGCTCCTATGATTCGAATACACATCAATTCTCGAGCCCCGCTGTTGTCTGCTACATTCAAATGGGTCTGAGGTTGAATCATTTTTTGTTTTTATCTGTTCTTTCAATGTAAAAATAAATGAAAAAGAAATATTGTTTGTCCAAAAAAAACTTCTATTTGTTTTTATCCAAAAGATCCATTTCCTTTAGGTCTACATTCTTATCCTGAAATAATGAATTGAGTTCGTATAGGCATTTTCGATGCCGCTATTGCGATAGCCCGGCAGGCTATATTTTCGGCTACTCCGCTTATTTCATAAAGTATTCGACCTGGTTTGACAACAGCTACCCAATATTCGGGCGATCCTTTACCGGAACCCATACGGGTTTCCGCGGGTCTTACTGTAACAGGTTTGTCGGGAAATATGCGTACCCATATTTTTCCACCGCGACGTGCATTTCGTGTCATTGCTCGCCGCCCTGCTTCTATTTGTCTAGACGTGATCCAAGCGGGTTCAAGTGCCTGAAGAGCATATCTTCCGAAACAAATACGATTCCCCCGACAAGATATTCCCTTCATTCTTCCTCTATGTTGTTTACGGAATTTAGTTCTTTTGGGGTTATAGTTGATGGTTTTTTTGGAATTCCATCTCTACTACAGAACCGGACGTGAGATACACACGAAATAAATCCTAATTCAAAGAGTGACTGATAGTAAGTTCCAAGGGAAATTTGCAATTACTAGTTGCACCACGATAACAGGTGCAGTACCCCAAGAAAGTCGGCTAGGATTAATTGTGCTTGCAATAGCTACTATAAAGCTGTTTGAAGTATTACCAATATTATGCATAATACGAATAATAAACTTACAATCAATCCTCACAATTATATATTCAGGGTCTTTATCAAGTTCAAGTGGTATGCAACATGGTCATAAATTTGAAAGACAGCGTTGTAAGTTAATGATTACCAGCACCAACAGATGGCCACATAACAATGCTAATGGGCAAAAGATAGCTTACTTGACTCCAAGATATATGGTGAAGTCTCTTCTCAGTGACTCTTATTCCTTGACCTTCAAACCACTTTATGGGTAACTGCCTTGCCTTGTCACCTCTAACAGGTGACAAGCAATATTTTCATTATGCCTGATTCCAAAGGATCAGAAAGCGTTTCTAGCAGCTGAAAGAAACAAACCACTATCAATTAATCGAACAGAACATTCCATCAGATAGCAATTCAGCAGGCACAAATTATAACAATTCTATACATATGAGAGGAAAAGGGTTGTGCTTCAGTGTGGTGACAGGAATCAACAAGGCAAAAATAGATAGCAAAAGATAAGAATGGTTTACGGAAGCTAAACAGACCTGAATGGCTTAAGGTAGCCAAACAGACCTTCCTACTTTCGAGAGGCATAAATTTTCTCCCAACAATATATTTCTCAATGATCTCTAACATTCATTATCTACCTTGACAACTTTTGGATTCCTTCCACCTAAATTTTGCTGATAACAAATTTATATAGCAACAGCTATTATTCCCTCCTGATGACATGCGAATTAGTTACTAAGATGCTGCTGAGCTGGTCTTCCCCTCTGGTAGGTGATAGTCACTGGTGATTTGGCTTGGTGCATAACAGAGAAAGCAACTATCATTATGACCACGTAAGCCAAAATGAGCATAGAAAATAGAACTGAATTAGGAACGTCAATAAATGACAGCAATGAGCTTTATGATCATGCAAATGGAAGTGAAAATGAACACCAAGAGGGAAGAATAATGACAAGTTACATGGTGATTGAGCGTAGAACAGAGAACCAGCAGCTCTAATCTTGCAGCTAAGGTGTTTCTTGCTGGTTTCACTTTCCACTGAATACCCCACTCTATATTGGACTTGGGATATAACATACTTAGGGGATCCATAAGCTCAGCCACAATAAAATGGTATTACTTCTTCCCCAAATCCTCATCTTTATACAAATTCACAAGCTAAGCAGATTTATTTCCTGATTGCAGACATCACTGAGTAGGCTTGCAATCAAACATGTAGAAAGTATCTTCCTAAATTCTAGATCCTAAACATCAACTAAAGAAACTTGGGAGACCTGAAATGCTCAAAAAAAGATCCTAAAGTTAAGAGATTCTACTATATGCTCTATATCTTCCAATATATGCCCATAAAGGGTGGCATATAACTTTGATATTCACAAATAAGAAAGTGATATTAGATTGGCAGCAGTAGTGATAGCCAACTCACCTTCAAAAACAAGGATATACAGATCTAACAAACCACCATTAATTTCATAATACACACAATAGCATAAACTTAGGAAGCACAAAAATTTCTGAGACGAGAAGTTTCCCCATTATTTTAAAACCCAGATCATTTTCATTCTTATTTTCAAAACATATCTGCCTGCAAAACCTAAGCAGTTTCCATGCTACATACGTATAAACTGTACTATACACCATACTATGCTACCACATTAAAGCCCTAAAATGTTTGAAAATGAAATGCAGAACACTGTGTGTGGGTGGGTGTGTGTGGGCGCGCATGTGTGTCTGAGCACTTGCTATGAAAAAAAGGTAAAATCTGGGGAAAACTCAGAGCCTCAGAGGTAATTGGCAATTTAATCAGAGAAAGACATCACCAAATTCAAGGACAAATTCTCAATTAAAAGTACAGCAATTATATCAGAAAAATTGAGGAAAGGTACGAAAACAAAAAGATACCTGATTAGCATCAGGGCATACAGAATCAGTGCATCTAGAAGGGGTTGAAGTTTGTAATGCCAATGGCATTACATAGGCCTAATTCAAGGCATTTCCCCATGCCATTCCAAATGAATTCCAAATGCAACTCTTCAAAGACCTCTTTGTTCAAGCCGGGTCTATAGTTGTGAATAAAACCGTAAAACACCAAATACAAATCCACGTAGTCTATCCCCAAATTTCTGTTCACAGTTAGTATTAACTCCTGCAGGAGCCTTCTGGACATCAATAAGCTACGTTTTAGCAGCAACAGGCTTTGCTGCTCCTTTCACAGCTGGTTCTGAACTAACATTGGCTGGAGCTTTAGTAAGAAGCAGGCTTCAGAGCTTCAATGCTTCCAACAAATAGCCCAAGGAACTCTGTCCACTTCCACAGTTCCACTGCTGCCACCATATCCCATTAGTTATAAACTCCTATACTTACCAATTGTTAACCACGGGATAGAAACGCTGTAAAGTGATATCACAAGATGTTCATGAACAAGCACAATGAGAGCAATTTTTTTTATTTTTTTTTTCAAAAAAAAAAACAATTGCTGAACCAGTCAAATTTCAAAAGCAACTGAAGGCCTATGTAATCTTTGTTTCAACTATAGGCATTCATGGCCAAAGGTGGAAACTGAAACACTTGAAAGGAGGGAGGAAGATCTCAGGAGGGAAGAGGGGAGGTGATATTGGTGCCAAACTTGTATTAATAAGCTAATTACAGGCATCCGACTCAATGCAACTATTTGTTAGACCATTCAGTGATTGGCTCGCCTCTCTAAGTCAACAAAGGGTGTTAAGAAGTTTTTAAAACACTTTACGTGCTTCAACCTTGCAGAATATTCCTGTTAATGTATAACAATAAATAACATTGTCTGGATCAATTTCAGACAAACAACACAGAAACTGACTGCTCAGTGCTCACTATGAAAATAAAGGGTCTTCTCCATCCACAAGGAAGAGACAAGAATAAAGATAAATCCAAATCCATCAATCAAAGTCCACAAAAGAGTTTCATTGGGAAAATAAATTCAATGCAATTTCACAATTCTAATATTATTAAACAAGTATAAACATTTCAAGATCAAGAGGTCAGATATTAATCATGTATCTACATGTTTTAGACAGAACATTAGAATTATTCATTGGAGTAAAAGCATGACCAATTTCAACAAAGTACTAAACAATGCAATAGCCACAAAGAGCATCTTATAACAAATCACTCGAATTTTCTAAATCAAGCATCACAGTTTCACAATAAACAATAGATAATGTGTAAGATACTTTGTATAAAACTAAATAAGCCACAGCTACAAGCCTTAAGTGAAATGTGCCTGGTATATCACCTTGTTATACTAGTTCAATATGGCATCCATAATCAATAACCAATATCGCTTGGGTCTCCAACAAATTCAGCTATTTGTTCAAGCTGCACATGAATCAGCTCGTGTGTATCAGCGTCTTGAACTACAGCTTTTTCCCTCTCAGAATCTTTCTCAACAAGACTGCCATATGTACCCTTGTGCTTTCCGAAAAGAACAAGAACAGGACCACCTCGTCTAGGAAGAGCAGTTTCCAAAATCTCCTGTTCTACTCCCTGAACAATCTCCCTACCATCATCCATTGTTATATCACAGGTCCTGGCTCCAACTGCATCGATTACCACACCCTTCTTCAAATAAAACTTTCCTCCTTTAAACGACTTGCTAACAATTCTGACCCTAATATGACTCCTAAGCCAAGAAACTCCACTACTACTAGTCCTTTTCTCATCCACCCGCACCCTGCGTTCACTCTTAACTTCACCAACATCACCTCTCCTACCCTCATTTCTACCTCTCTTACTTTCCTTTCTTTCACTCGACGAATCTCTACTCCCCTTCTTATCACTACCCCTCGAAGATTCTTTAGAACCTTGAATCTTCAACTCCTTCAATTCCTTCAAACACTTATCTTCCTCCAAAGAACCCAACTCAGCCACTTCATCCACTCGAACCTTCACTTCCTCATCACTACGCGAAAGCCTCAAAAACAACGAATCACCTCCCGGTAACACCTCAATAACTCTACCCTTATACCCCATCTTTCTTCCACCAACAATCCTTACCTCTTTCCCAACCTCAAATTTTCCTTTATTCTTTTTATTCTCATCAACTTTCCCAGGAAGCACATTATCATCAGTAAACCCTAACCCCTCTTTCGCGGTCCGACGTTTATACTCAACAACCTTGACATCCTCCTTAGCATTTCTCCCAATTCCCATCCCTTTTCTCCACCCATACCCAGCTAACAAAGCTTCCCCAAAACCCTCAACAGGAACCTCCTCAAATTGATCAAAACCCTCATCTTCAGGCAACTTATCTAAATCATTCCTCAATTTCTTAAGCATAATCGAATCAATTGAATTAGGAACATCAAATTCAGCCTTACCATTAACCGAATCTTGGCGCAGATTCAACCCATATGAAATCTTCGAATCAGCTTCTGGGGCAGCAACATCAGCTTCGTTTTCAACTTCAAATTCAAGGGGTTTTCCTTCGGAGTGAATTGGGGGTAAATCGAGATTCTTCATCTTCTTGGCGGGACGCCATTCGTTCTGTTTCGGGGGAATCACGACTTTCTTGGGGCCTTTTTCTAGGATTAGGGTTTGAGAAGGGTTAAATTCGGTGATTGATTCACCATCAATTTGGGGTTTTGGGGCTGAATCATTCTTGATTTTGGTGTTTGATTTTGAAGAAGATTGGTTTGATGATACAGAGAAAGAGATCTTCTTCATGGTTTTTGATGGAGGAGAGATAAAATTCTCTTGCCTGAGTTATTAAGGAGTAACTTTTAAAAAGCCAACACGTTGAAAGTGTTACTGTTTGGCCATAATGAGCTGAGCCTTGTTCGTAAATAGTTTGTCAAGACAATCTCAAAGTCTTATACTTCTAAAATTTATACAATCACTAAATAACCCAACCAACTTAGAATTATAATACTACATCCGTTGTTATGTGCAACGATTAAACATACTATTTGTAAAACATATTCTCTATGTCCTTTTATTTTTACCCCATTTGATTATAAACGGTGTCCAAGACACGTATTAAAACGTTTATATCTTCATTTTCATAGTTGGAAAAATTTTAAAAGTTGATATTAATTAAATTTACAATAAAACGAATCAAACAAGATCTCACACAACTATATTTCCTTTTGTAGAACAATGACAATTTATGGTCAAAGTTTGAAAAGTTTGACCCCCCAATTTGGCAATGGTGCAAAAAATAGTGACAGGAGTAATACAAAGGATATAAAATATATTCCATAACAATTCTATCTTATCTTAACATAGTTCAAGCTTGGCTCACTCAAAATTTGGTTATAGCTCAGTTCGTGGTGGCTTGACTATGGTTAAAATTCGACTCGACATCTTAATAACGAGTTGAGATGAGTTTTACCAAATTCGGATTGAAAAGTTTGTGAATAAATTCGATAATTTATTTCCATACAAAAAAAATATTATGTATGTATTATAAACATAAATATGATTATCATAGATATCTTTTTTTTTACAAAAAAAATAAAAAATAAAAATTGTCATAAAATACAATTGTATAACTTATTATTGTGTTTTGTGTAACACAAATTCTTATACTCGTATTTGCTAGCCACAGCGTGTGACTTGTCATCATGAGAATTACTTCGTTAATGTTATTGTAATATCCCTTATGATTACTTAAACGAATTTAACTTACTACTCATACTAACAAAATGCATATTTTTTTCAAGGAGCTAATATGATAATTAAGATACTTTTTAGTTAAGCGCGTTTGAATGGGAGTAATGATGGGTGACCTCTGGGGAATTTTAGAAGCGGTGTGGCCAGCTGTACACAAGATGGACTGTTTGTGTAAAATTTATGATAATTATATTTAGGACAATTTACATAATTTTTTGTATGGAAAAAATTAATCAAAAATCTAAAAATTATCGAAAATCTAATTGTATAAAGTTCATAACAAGTCTAAAAACAGAAGTTATGGACTTATGGTCCTAAAAAAACAAAAATCTTCTTGTATAATGGATAGTCTATTACATCTGAACAAATCATTCTCATTCATTACTTTGAAAAATGTTATCATTAAAAACAATATAAGAAATATGTGAGATGTTATGCCATTTAGGGCCATCTTTGGCATATCTTTCAGTTAGCAGTGGGCAGTCAGCAACATCTAGATGCCAAAACTCAGTCAGAGACAGCATGGCTTGTTTCGAAGGAAGAAATTTCAGATTCTTGCATTTGTAAAGCGACAACTCCTCAAGCGAGGACAGATTGCTTATCCAGTCTGGAAGTTGTTCCAATCTATCGAAATTCCATATAGACATGACTTTAAGGTTGCTAAAGAGTTGGATTTGTTCAGGTACCAATTTGATATTTGGATAACCATCCAAAATTAGTCGTGTAAGGCTGATGGATTGGCTAGTGAGGCAAGGGGCATTGTTTGCGAAGTAAGTTTTGACCACATTTTCGTCTTTAAAACCACCAATGCTCAACTCCATTAGAGATGGAAGATGTTGCAGTGCTTGCAGTATGGAAGTTGTTAATTCTCCTGCTTCGTTAACCCACAGCTCTTCGAGACCAAGCAACTTGCTTAAATCTGTTTGTGGACCTTCTATTGATGGACATTGCTTTATGTTTAGTTCCTTTAAAGATGCACATTCTTGCAAACTAGTTGAAATATTTTTTAATCCGCTGCATCTGTAGATATTCAGCTTACACAAACACAATAGGTCCCGAAAAAGATCATCAGGAAGTGAAGCTAAGGCAGGACATTCTCTTATGTCCAAGGTCTTTAGAGATGCTGGCAGTCTATCAGGTAAAGACTCGAGTTCTTGACAACCCCATATACTCAATTTCTGTAGGTTTGTATGGTTTGATACCTCCTGAGGCAAGCTCTTCAATTTTAGTATCTCACAAACTTCTAATGATGTGAGACTGCTGCTGTATTTGACAATGTCCAAGGATTGAGTACCGGGAAATTCTTGAATTCTTAACCGTTTCAGGGACTCAAATTTCAGGGCCGGTATTATCTCCAGAAGAGGGCAATTCATAACCTCTAAAATTTCCAAGAAAGGAAAGGTTATTGCCCCTAGTGTTGGAGATGGCTGCATCCATTCTGTCAGACTGTCAAAGTTCCAGATCTGAAGCTCTCGTAAAGCTGGAAATAGTTTTTCAATTTGCCTGTGAAGATCCTGATCACTTACATAGAAGTGATCATCTATGCATTCCACAGCTAATTTATCTAGATATAAATACTTAAGAAATGGCAACTGACCGAGTGTGGGAAGAAATCGACATCTTCTGCAATCCACGAGTTTTATTGCTTTGAGATTGCTAAGAGGTACTATCTTACTTCTTGGTGCCCCAAATTTAACAGCCATCTTCATCATCCATATAGGAAATTTTTCGGCATTGTAGCCAACTATAGCCAGTGCTATTATACCTGGGTGAGGTTCAAGGCCTGTCAGAACTTCCTCATCAGTATCAGTGTTGTTGTCTACTCTATTACCAGACCAAACTAGATGCAATCGTAAAAGCTTCACCTTTTTTCCAAGCTCAACTTTTCTTGCTTCAGCTTCACTCTTCACATATTCAAGACCTGAGATAGAGAGACCGTCTCTAGCTTCATGTAAAGAGGCTAATTCATCAACAGTCCATCCTTCTCCATCGCGCAATGCAAGATCAGGTAAGGTCTGCAGGCATGTCAATTGTTGTAATCCTTTAGATGCAAACACACTATGATCTGTTGTCATAATGTGTCTTAAGTTTACCAACTTATGCAGTTCATTTGGTAGCTCTGTTAGTTCTTTGCAGCCGGTAAGTTTCAGAGTTTGTAACTGGTAGAGCTTAGTGATTGACTCTGGTAACATTTTGAACGGATTGTTTGATAAGTCCAAATACTTGAGAAGCTTCAACTTCCGAATGGAAGCTGGTACCACCCGAAGGCCAATCCCATCAATCATTAGAGTTCGTAGATATCTAACTGTTAACAAATTACCTGGCAAACCAGCCCAAAGATTAATCGTTCGTAGTCTCTTTGTAGAAATCTCTGCAGGAATGATTTCTTGAAACGCATGTTGTACACTAAACTTGCCTACTAAATGTCTACACTCAATGTCACTATTCGGCTTTGCTTCTTTGTTCCATACCAACAAGTCCTTACGCGATACATACACTGCTAGATCATGCACCAAATCGTGCATCTTATAAGACAAAATCCGTCCTGTTTTCTCACTTTCTTTTCCTTCCAAGAACAAATTCTTTGACAGTATTTCTAAAAACTCCTCACCAATCTCCTCCATTGTTAAGCTTGTTTCGTGTTTGTGAAGGAAGCCTTGCGCCATCCAAAGAGCAATCAAATCACCTCGTTCCATAGGGCAATCTTTACGAAAAATTGCACAATAAGCAAAACATTGCTTCAATGACAAACAAGGTAAATGATGATAGCTCAACAATATCGAAGGTAGGATATGATTTTTAGCATATTCTACATGCCATAGCTCACTTTTCTCTATTTTCTCCCACTCATACAGATACTTCTTTGACTCGAGTGATCTTCCAATCATTTTTATGGCTAATGGAACACCCTTACACTTCTCAACAATCGTCCTCCCAACTTCTTCAAAACACGGAACATTAAGCAATGCCTCACTAGCTCTAAATTGCTGCGTGAAAAGAGCCCAACTTTCCTCATCTGATAAACCTGTCAACAAGTGAGTATGTGCTTCGGCTTCCATAGCAACTTCGTTGCTACGAGTAGTAATTAAAATCACACTTTGAGCAGAATTCCCAATTCTCTGCAGCAACCGGTGTAGTGAGCTCCACATATCATCATTTTTGTTCCATACATCATCTAAGACGAGCAAGAATTTACTCGATTTAATCTCTTCTTGAAGCTGATTTATAATTGCATGTGTTCTAGTTAAGTATGCTTTTTTTGTAGGACATTCAACCATCTCCTTCAAAACTCTTTTAGCATCAAAATCTTCTGACATTGATATCCAAATTCGCTTTGCAAAATGCCCAATTATTTGGTCATTGTTGTATAAGCGCCTTGCTAAAGTAGTCTTGCCAAGACCTGTAAATAGTATAGGGTAAAGTATATATCAATGTCTATATATTGTAAGAATCTGCATCATCATAGATTCATAAATTCATTGATAGTCATTAAAAAAAAAAGATTACTTAACAAATGTTCTATCAACTAGTTGTTAGAGTTATTACTAAACATTAACATTTTGTTTTCATCTCTGAAACCAAGTTATAAATCATCACATTAAATTTGTAAATCGTCTCTCATTAAACAAAATGGATGTATATTAAAGATTTGATTGTCAGATGTGAATTGAGGAAAATTTGCAATTCGCAGCCATTTAAAGTTCGTATTTTGCAAATTGCAGCCATTTAAAAAGAAAATTGTAAATTGCAGCCCAAAAGTTCATATAAATTGTAAATTGCAGTCCGATTCAACTTTTTCATCGGTTTACTAGTTGGAAAAATCTCCGATTAAGGTTTTAGGGGCCATTTTAGCCTTTAGGAGTCCGAATTGAGCTCGGAATTAGTAAAAAAATAACGCAAATATCTCATTTGCATAACAAAAATGTATTGATTTGTGGGAAACTATAAATTTAATCAAATAAATCAATCTGAGCCTAAAAAGTAAAGGCCTTAAAGAAGTTAGAATGAACATATTAAAAAATCGCTCTTTCTACTTAAATTGGACTTTTTTGCTTCGCAACAAAAAAGCAAAAAGGAAGAACATTTAGGCCCCATTTGGTTTGATGTAAATGTGTTTCTTAGAAAATGATTTTCTCAATTGATGCGGTTCTTGGAACCGCATCATCAATTATTTCCCACTTTCATTTGTTTGGTTTGGGAAGGGGTAGAAAACAATTTTCCCAATGATAGAAAGTTATATCTTTAATGATGAAAAAACTTTTCCTTTACAATATAAGGGAAACAACATTTTCCTCCTCTCCTTTTTATTTCCGTCTCATTCATCCATCCACACATTCCCACTCCTATTTTTGATTTTTCTTAAACTTTTCTCGTATGCAACCAAACAAAGAAGAACTAATTTATAATTGTGATTTTCCTTGAAAATATTAGTAGTATATCAAACAAAACCGGGCCTAGAGACAAGAGAAATTCATTTAAACAATTACAATTGGAATACAAATATGAGAGTGTGTGTGAAACAAAGAGAACTTACCCCCAATTCCAACTATGGCCTTAACACACAAGCCAGAATTACTGTTATTTCCAGGTGATGATGAACAAATCATTTGCAGTAACTTCTCCTCATCAATCTTCCTTCCAACAAACTCAGATCCATCTTCTACACCCGCATTTCGACGAGCTTGCTTCAACATACAATAATATTCATTCATATTATCATCATTATAAGTTGATGTACGTGCATCCGTTGCCAACTTCACCGCTTTAAGCCCATAATTTTTAGCATCATTTTCAAGCTCATCAAACTTGGCAAGGATCTCGGTCACCTTACGAGTCATCCGAAAACGGAACTTGATTCGATTCGATCGCTTAAACATCACATTGTGGAGACGTAAACGTTTCCTCGATGCGTTACTATTTATCTCGAGTTTCCTACGGAGGATTTCATAGGCGTACTCATCCATAATATCTTGCGCAAAATAGACGACATCTTTGATATTTTGTAGCCAACAATTTACAAGTTGGACTTCCATTTCTTTCTTGGCGCTTCCCATGTCATTCAAAAATGCTAAAATGTAATTTAATTTTGAGTTGAGTTTTCGTAGGTGATCCTTGAAACCCCAAGCGAGGCGTAGCTCCTCTAATGGTCGAGTCGCCACTAATTGTATCATGGCTTTTGCAGCCTCGATTGCTATGGCTTCTGCAACCGCCATCCTGCTCGTGTTTGTGATTGACCCGATGTGAATGCAAGAAACAGGATAAGTAAGATGTAAATTTGTGTTTTGGTCATATGATTTTGGTTAAGTATGACTGAATTATGAGCTTAATTAATTAAACTTGCAAGTAGGAAGGAATGAAAGATGTTGGAGACCCATGTTTTTGCCACTTTTGTAGACAAGTTATGTATCACCACTCACTAGTCACTACTTACTACTTGATTAATTGTTTAAGTATGTCAACTTGAACCCATTTGTATAAACAAATCAAACAATTAAAATTGTCAACTCGACTTATATAATATGTTGAATTTTTTGCCTATTAAGGGTCTGTTCTCATTGACTGAACTCAGCTGAACTGAACTGAACTGAATTGAGCTGAGCTGAACTGAACTGACTGAACTGAACTGAAATGAATATTTTATAAGAGAAGGAAATTAGGAGCTGAGCTGAAATGAACTGAACTGAACTGAGCTGAGCTGAACTGAATTGAACTAAACTGAATTTCAACGTAAGAGAACAAAGTCTAATACTGCTTATATGGTCTACTACTAGTCATAAACAGGCAAACATAGTAGATTAATATTAATTAAATTACTTTCTTCGCACCAAAATAAAAGTTCATTTATTCACCTTTAATTATTCAAATTATAATATATATATATTTTTTAATACGTTTAACTTGTAACTAAGGAAACTAACTACAATTAGAATTATTCAACCTTGCAACCAACTATACGGCTACACCAAACTTGATGATTGGCAGATAGGATTGACATTATATAGGAGCCCCACTATTATGTTTTTGCTATTTATATTCAATTAACTTATATAAATATTGTCACTATTCAAAGCTAGCTGTACAGTGATTAACATGAATCTATTATCTATATCAACTATACATGTATGTAACATAATGTTGCTAAATTTTTGTGAAACATAAATAAATATAAAAAAAAAAAAAAATTCTATTATCTGTAAATGTAAACTATTGGACGAATAATCCTTGCATACAACAATAATCATACTATGTTCAAAAAAAAAAAAAAAAAAAAAACAATAATCATACTAGGTATATGTGTTCATGTTTTTTTACCTCAATATTCTACACATTGTACAATTATTATTTTTTTTATTAAACAAATAGCATGATAAATGAAAATGAAAAATAAATAATGGAGTATATCTTAATACAAAACAATCAAATTAACAAGCAGATTAAATTCTCACTTATGCAAAGGGCAAACACAATTCTCTTTGCCAATATCAGAAGCAACACAAGGAGGTTGATTTTCACCGTCTTTTAACCAATTCGAACGCTTCTCAACTAGCTCACTTATGAACGTATCCAATTTCTTGATTGTAACATTAGGCATCACGACAACATGAGCTATATTCCCTTGACACGAGAGCTGCCAATATCGAATTATATCCTCATCTTGAGGTCTTTCGAACACCACGGTGTTGCTTAGCCTATTGAGCATGACACTAAGGCCGGCCTCTTTAAGCCGGTCTTTAAGGTAACGTGCATTGTTTAGGCATTTTTGTACGTCTTTCTTGAATCCATTGTATCCTTTGCGACTCAATGCATACCATAGGAAGATGGGGGCGTGACCGTTCCTACTTCCCATGATTGTAACATCCCTTGATGCTACATACTCTACATTGCTAGATAAATAGTTAATGTGTTCCCTCCTTACCATTTGAACACCACAAGGCATCGGGCATCCCACGAATTTGTGGCCGGAAACACTTATACTATCAATTGGCTTCTTGAATGTGATTTGCGGTGCCTATTATTTTTGAAGAAAACACAAAATGTTATAATAAAAATTCAATAATTTACAAGAAAGTTGAAGACAAAGGTAAAATTGTTCAAGGGTTATTAGAAAAGATTGATGTAAAGTGTAGTATTATGTCTTTGTTCACTTCACTTGATTTTTAACTGAAATTATTTTTACTTAACTTAAATAAATGCATAATAAATTTTTACTGAAATTAAAATATTGTTATTGTTAAATTAATTTTACGGATTCAAAGTTATTTTTTACTAATTTGATATTATATGGTTTTAAAAAAAATTGATATTATATATGTTCGCTTAATTAAGATATTAATTTTTACTTATTATAGCTTATTTTTACAGAATTTAACTTATTTTAATTTGTTGAACATAGCCTTTATTTATAAAAATAAATGACCCTTTTTTTACTATTTTTTTTAATAAGATGTAAGTACCAGGGCATATGTATGAGCTTTCGCAAATTGCATATGTCCTTATTTAAAGGTCCACAAATACATTGCATTGTATGAGACAAAGATATATTGATATAAATTAAATTATGTAAGCATAAGTTCACAAGGAATCACAACATAGACACAAAAAACGTCCCCATTACCAATAAAAAAAAAAAAATCTTATTCCATAATTGATACTTTGTATAATATATAGCAGTTGTCTCTCATATGATGGTTCTAATTCAATACGGCATTAATTTGGCGCAACCCCTACCAAAACCCTCAATTATGATCAATTGTACGTACGTCTAGCAAATCACAGCATTTTGATAATAGCTACTGTTTGTTGGATGACATTAATATTGTTTCCGTCTCATACTAGAATTTGTCTTTTAACACACTTTTTAACAACTGTACTGTAATCATGTGAGTGTTGTAATAGTGTCTTTACTAGAAACGTGTAAACCTAAGAAAAGGATGAAATTGGCAAGACAATATATGCACATTTAGGATCATGAATGTTCAAAGTTATTTCAACTAGAAACATGAATGTTAAAAAATGGCAATAATAAAAATGATTTATAAAGATAGTTTACTTACTCGATTTAGAAATGGCAGCATAAGACCAACCAAGGCTCCGTCGCAATGGATATAGAACCGATTACGAGGGAAGCCACATTCTTCAAGAGTTTGTATCACTAGATCGAGATCATCAATAGCACCTTTTACCGTAGTACCTATAACAAGAGGCCACAAATTGGTCATAATAATCACGTGCATTATGAACAAAATAAATTCGTAATTGTTAATAAACCAACTCAACCATCAGCTTGGTGTGATGGTTGAGACCTAGAAATATGTTTTATACTCTATCACGCCCCCCTCACATGAGAGCGCTTTAGGTTTAAAATGTGGATGCAACATGAGTTCTCTGCATATCCTGCGTGAAATATTCCACTTTAAAATGAGAGGTGAATGTGATTTGAACCTGTGACCTTTAGTGGCTCTAATATCATGTTAATGGACCAGTAGTTCAACCATCAACTTGGTGGTTGAGGCCCGGGATTATGTTTTATAATACTCTATCAGTAATAACACATATTCCATTAACACTCTCAAAAGAAAATCATGAACATAAAGGTTTTAATGAATTGAATGTATTACCTATGGTAATATTCATGATGGCAGGTTTATCTTTGTTCTTGAGAAGACTTGCCTTTAAATCGACACAATCAATTTCGCCGGAAACTAACGTCTCAACCTTAACACAACTCATTCTATACATACGCGCAGCTTTAAAGACTGAGTAGTGTGACTCTTTAGAAGCATACAAAATTCCATCAGGAAACATTTCTCTCCTGAAAATATTTCATGATCAATAAGATCAATTTATCACTAAATAAACAATATTAATTAATACTAACGTCTCGCATGATTTTACCACACTTAAACGGAATTGAGATATTGTTTGGAGTGTAATTAAGTGGGTCATGAGCATTAAATAAGAGTAAAAGAACAACTTTAACCAAAAAAAAAAAAAATCAATTATAGTGTGTTGCAAATATTGTGACATTTTTATTTTAGGTCAGTGTTACAAGTATTATAAAACGGAGGATGTATGTTGCATACACTTACCCTACAAGTAGGCCATGAAGGTTTCCTTCAGTTCCACCACTCGTAACATATCCCCAATATTCACCCTTATTGATCTCCCAAAGACGAGCAAACCAATCTAATACACCTACTTCGAAGTCCCTCGAGTGCACACCATAGTTGCCCTCAATAAACGGATCGCCACAATTGTTAAATGAAAATCGTTGCAATCGATCAAGATCGTCATAATTATAGTCCATATTTATTTGATATCCTGCGTTAAATGTTAGTTACAACTAAATGAGCTTTATATCTAATGATTTAGCTGCGAGTTAAACCGAATAATAAAAATGGAGAGTATACTTAAATAATCTAATGTGATAATAAACTAAACTTAGCTTAGCCCTAAACTACATAAAAAATAAAATCCACTTTGTAATTAATAATGTGGATCAAACTCAAGTTCAATTATGATTTTAGTTAGGAAAACAGACATTGCTAGGAAATTATCTCTATGATATTTAAAAAAGCATAAATTATTCACACAAATAATTTTTTATTTATTTTTAATCACTTATTACTGTACTAGCTAGAGATACATTATGTTGTGTTGTACTACGAATGTAGAATGTTTGATATAGTTATTAGGAATTTTTGACAATTACCACTAGGGGTGAACATGGTTTGGTTTGGTGCGGTTTGAGTCCAAACCAAACCAAACCGCAAAATACGGTTTGGTAAATTTTTCAAACCAAACCAAACCATATTAGTATTGAAACCAAACCGTAGTAATACGGTTTGGTGCGGTTTGGTTTGCGGTTTATGATGAGATGATTTTTTTTTTCCAAAAATTGTCAAATAATACTTCACTAATTTATAATAATGTTTAAATAAGTAGCCCAAACGGATTAAATTGTACTACAAAGTTACAATAAAAATATCAAGTGCTAACACATAATTAAAAATAATACATAACAATAAAAGATATTCATATGAGTACTACATTATAGTCATTAATTATAGAGTATTGACGATATAATTTTTATCTATTTTTCATTGTTTTTTATTTATTCTTTAATTTTTTTATATAATATAAAAAAAGTTTATTGAAAAATTATATAAATATTAAAATACGGTTTATTGGTTTACGGTTTGGTCTTGTTTATATTTTTTGCAAAACCAAACCAAACCATAAACCATATTTACAAAAAAAATCGAGACCAAACCGTAATTTTATAAACCGTAAACCAAACCAAACCGTTAAAATACGGTTTGGTCTGGTTTGGTTACGGTCCAGACCAAACTGTGTACAACCCTAATTAGCACCTTCTACTATGTTCATTTTAGCAATTACCACCTTGTATTTTTTTTTTTTGAAAATTATCACCTTCTATTTTCAAAAACATCAAAAGTTACCACCTTCTCCACCACATGACGTCATGTGGGCCCCACCCTTTACCTTTCCCTCCTATTTCCCTCCCATTTCTTCGATTCTCATCCCTCCTCTCACTTTTTTTCCCCCAATAAAATCAGAACACTTCAATTCACTCCTCTAAATCCAAATTGACGAACAATTATTGGTGGTTGCTGCAACATGACAATGATTCCCAAAAGAAAGGTATGTTGTTCATCTTAATTTTTTAATTTAGGGGTTTTCAATGTGTTTTAGGGTTTATGATTGTAATTTTGCGAATCAAATTAACAACAAATTAGGGTTGAAATTATGGTTTTGCGAATCAAATTAGGGATGAGGGTGTTCAATTGATGAACTAATTGACAACAAATTGTGAATTATTACCTGATTGAAATTACGGTTTTGTGAATCAAATTAGGGGTAAGGGTGTTCAATTGATGAACTAAATGAGATATCCTAGCTTGGTCCCCCTTCAACAATGACGTTTCCAACCCAATTGTACTATGATAGTGCGCCTGGAACAAGGTACGATTTTGGGAAATTTAGCAACTATTTTGACCAAGAATTATGGGGGAGAGAGAGGATGTGACAATAGGGAGTAAATTTTCAGAAAGTATTAGCTAGATGGGTGAGGAAGAATTGATTGCCATTAATGGTGAAGGAGAGAAAAGAGAGACAAGGGAGATGAGAATCGAAGTGAGGAAGGGGAAATAGGAGGGAAAGGTAAAGGGTGGGGCCCATATGATGTCATGTGGTGGAAAAGGTGGTAACTTTTGATGTTTTTGAAAATAGAAGGTGGTAATTTTCAAAAAAAAAAAATACAAGGTGGTAATTGCTAAAATGGACATAATAGAAGGTGGTAATTGTCAAAATTTCCTAGTTATTATAGCTATGATACGGACTTTGTATTGTCTTGGATAATTTTGGACACCCTCTTAAATGTATATATCCCTACTATGATTTGATATAAATCTTTTAGGTAATCATTTAGTTAATGTGTGAAAATTAATTTATACACTGTGAACAATAAGAAATTTCAACTCCCTTAAGCCTATACTAATATGCATGCATGGTGCAACCATATCATAGATCATGAATCAAATAACATGCCCAATTAATGATAAAAATAATAGAAATTAAAGTAGAGATCGAAATAAAATATATATGTTGTATCACCTAAATGGTGTTTGGTCCTCTCAAGCCATCTCTGCGTGTATCTTGCCAAAACAACCTTCATATAGGCCTCCGTTTTTCCGGTCAGCTCATCGTTAGCCTCGGGTTCCTTGATGTCAAGGCAACAAGGGGTGTGCATATTCTGGCTTGGAGCAACCTCTTTCCTTCCATTGCCATTGCCACTTTGCTCCTTTTTTTGCTCAACAACATTATTGTCATTAATGCCTAGAGAGTAAGAAACAGCAGGAACTAACTCAAAAACCAAACTTGTTGGGCAAAAATCTTGGTGCAATGCTTGTGATTCAGCACAAACCACGGTTGGCGCCATTTTTTGCTCTCTTTTATTCAACGTAACATCTACATTATTCATCTTAGAATGACTTTGTACTATTTACAAAAAAAAAAAAAAAAAAAAAAAAAAAAATCATAGTAATAAGTACTAATAAGCTATTACTAGTTGCTAGCCATGTGAAAATTAAATTTATTATTAGCATAAAACGAAAAATATAACACCTGAAAACATACCTAGCTAGGTTAAGATTAAAAAAAAAAAAAAAAACGTGAACGAATTCGTATAATATAACTTATAAGAATGTATGTTATTTATAGGTTATATGTTTCTAGCTTTCTAATAAGTTTGTATTACAATTACAACTACTTGACCAATATTGAAAGGTACATATAAACGCTAACTATTAATGACATTGTTGAAGGCACCACAAAAGTTGGATAAGCCTTCAATGACCAGTTAAGGTGTGATTATGAAATTGAGCTTTTTTACTTATTTATTTTAAGTTTTTAACAAATTCTAGTATGACACTCAATCTTATTCTATTTTACTTTTTTTCTTTCTCTTTTCTATAAGCTAACAACAATAAGCTTCAATGATCGGATATGGTTTCCTCTAAAAAAAAAGATTTAATTTTGGTAATGTGACGAAATCAATTTGGTGTTTAGACTTTAGAGAGCCACAAGAGATTAAATCTCAAGATATTTTAAAACCGGGAAGCTCTAAACAATTGACCTATCCCTCAATTTATTCTTTTTAAAAGAAGACTAAGTGATATATTCCGTTCTTTATAACTTTATAAGTTTATAAATATACCTTTTATAATCTTAGGGTATGTACTTTATACCTTTCGGGAATGTACCTTATACTTTTAGAACATGTACCTTACGTATATATGATGTGCACATTAACATTTCATTTTTCCAAAAAATTATTCATAATTATTTTGTTCATTTTTATCATTTACCTCAAAGTTATGTGCTATGTACCTTATGAGATTCTCATCGTAAGAGTAGGTCTCATGTTAAGATGGTTCTCATAGGAACTTCACCCATGTATACAAACCATAATTTGTTTGGGGCAATATTTGACTATTTGTAATTGTTTGGGTCCAATTTAGTCAAAATTGGGCCGGAGCACTAAATGATCCAATTAAAAGCCCAAGGTCAAGGTTCAACTCTCCAATTGCTCAAAAGTCAAAAGTCAGCCCACAAAGTAAGCCAATTGGGCTAAAGCCCAACCTCTCCAAGTATGACAAGGTATAAAAGCCATCATATTAACACATTCAAGGGGACATCACATATACATTGATATTCCATTTCATATGCTCATTCTTGCATTCAGGAATATTCCACAAAAGCCTCAAGCTACAAACTCTCTTGCATAGTGTCTTCCTTTTACACATTGTACTGACTTTAGCATCGGAGGGGCCTTCCTCGGAAACACCCCCGAGGCTAGTTTACGTGTGTTCACTGTGCAGGAAACCTTCGGCCCAACACAACTTGGACCGAATCCAGTCTTCTCCACTTCAGCGGACCTTCGGCAAGGTCCCATTGTTTTCAACCGAAACAATTTGGCGCCGTCTGTGGGGAAGACTTTCAAAAATCTTTAAGCCAAATTCCTAACCAAGATCATCTTGCAATTATCTTAGCAGCCATGGCTAAGAACCGCAAGAGCAAAAGCCTCCGTCAAGGAGCGGGCGAAAAGCCTAAAACCCCTACACCATCGCCCTCGCCGGACCGGAACTCTCCCAAGGGTGCCGGCTCGGGGGGAGGATCACACAAGGAGGATTCCCTATCTCCTATAATGCATGACTCTCAATATAGGCCGGACCACTCTCGGTCTAGCAGGGGTCAGTCTGATCATAGGACATATTCAGTGTCCCAAAGCCAACCATCGGCTGCACGGCCTCATTACCACACTCGGCCGGGGACCCCTTTGACGGGGCCCAGTTCGGAAGAGGTGGCAAGAGCGCTGGCAGTACTCATGGAGGCAATGAGGGCACAGAATATGCCACCGCCTCGTGATCAAACTCCTCCGCATACCCGGCATCAGCGGAGGAAGTTAGACCATGACGGTGGGAAGCTTCCTTCCTTCCGGGAGCTGGAAGAGTGGGAGGAGGATTCTTGGAAAAATGAAAAACAGAGGAAAAAGAACTCTCAATTATTTAAAGGATCCTCATCCTCAAGACCAGCAGCGCATAAGAGCAGCAGCTCAGCTTCTCGGCCAAAATCTACTCGCCGGGAACCCGAGACTGCTCGCAGAAGCGTCCTTGACCGACTCGGCGGCCAGGAACCGAGCGTGCGTAGTCGCCTCTCGTTCCCTGCAGCCGAGGCCCAGACTTCCCAGCCAGGGACGAAAACCACTCCTACCTCTCTAAGAGGGCGGAGCGCGGTCCCTTCGGCCAGGAACAAGGGCAAGGCCATTATGCTTCCCGCTAGTTCACCATTCGAGCAATGGATACTGGAAGAGCGCGTACCCACGGTTAAAATACCGTCGCATATCACATATGACGGGACCACGGATCCGAAGGACCACGTGGCCTCGTATGAGACTCATATGCATCTTTGCCCCAGATCCGAGGCGACTTGGTGCAAATATTTCCCAACCACTCTCAAGGGGGTCGCGCAAGCGTGGATCTCCAAGGGAGTAAGGCAAGGCTCCATAACAGGTTGGGATGATCTGTCCTCCAAGTTCAGGAGCAAGTTTTCCACGGCAAACCGCCGAGAGAAGACTACCGCAGAGCTCATGGGTCTGCAACAGGGGGAAACCGAAAGCCTCCGAGACTACCTGACCCGTTTCAGTAACGAGTCATCAAGCGTCTCTCAGCTGGACCAGGGGCTAGCTGTTTTTGCAATGCAGAATGGCCTTCAGCCAGGAAAATTCCTAGACTTCATGGTCATGCATACCCCTCAGACCTTGGAGGAAGTTCTTAGTGCTTCGGATAAGTTCATCCGAGCCGAAGAATGGAATAAAGCAAAAACCCAACCTCAATCCGGGGGAGGGAAACAGAGGCAAATACCTTTGTCTGAAGGCCAAGGCCATAAGGCAAAGGGAAAATCAAAGGCTCCGGAGCCATCTCCGGCCAGCGACCCAAAGAAGGACAGGTTTGCCTCATACACAGGCAGATATGAGTCCTACACTCCGCTCTCTCTTCCACGCGCCAAAATTTACAGTGTGACGAAGGAGGAGCAGAGTTACCGAAAGCCGAGACCACTCCCAGAGTGGTATCAGCGAAAAAATAAAAATCAGTGGTGTGAGTTCCACGAGTCTTCGGGCCACAACACTGAGGAGTGTATCCAGCTGAAGGACCAGATAGAGGACATGGTCCGGAAGGGATACTTGAAAAAATACATCGCGGATCACCGCGAGAAAAAAGAATCCGAGAGGTTAGCAAAGGACTCTCGGCAGGACCTTGATTTCCCCCGGAAAAACAGTAAAAAACAGGAGGGGAAATTCCCTCCGATCAATGTTATCTCGGGAGGAATATACTCTCGGAGGGAGCACAAGCGTCACCTTAGAGCTTTGACTCACCAGGTGAACAACGCTGACATTCAATCTCCCCAGTCGCCGGTGCCGAACATGACGTTCACAGCCGCCGACTGCCGGGGGATTACGTTCCCTCACGAGGATCCGTTGGTGATCATCGCCACGGTGGCCAACCACGACGTCAGTAAGGTCCTTGTTGACGGTGGCAGCGGAGCAAACATTCTGTTCCGAAAGGCCTACAACCAAATTAAGCTGAAGCCCAAGCACCTTACGCCGGTACCCTATCCGGTATCCGGGTTCAATGGGGCTTCAACTTATCCAGATGGGAAGGTGACGCTTCCTGTCACCATCGGTTGCGATGAGGCAGCCCGGAACGTCATGATTGAGTTTTTGGTCATCGACGCTCCTTCAGTGTACAACGTGATTTTGGGGAGACCCATAATTCACGAGATCCAAGGGGTCGTCTCAACTTATCATCAGCTGATGATTTACGTCTCAGACGCCGGCTTCCCCGAAAGGATACAGGGCAACCAAAAGGACGCCCGAAGGTGCAACTACCTCAAGCCATCCAGTAGTCGCCCAGATGACGACAGGGATGAGGAGGAAAAAGAAAGAGAGCCAAGCACAAAAAAGCCGAAAGGCCTAAGTGCTTCGGCCCAAGGATCCGTGCCCAGAGAAAAAGGTCCCGAAAGGGAAAAGGTTGACTCTTCAGCTGAGCCGAAAGACTCAGAGAGCCAGCCGAAGAACATAAAGACTGGGACACCTGCTGACATTGGCAGCAGACCAGATTCTGAAGAGTCCAGTCCATCGGCAATGGACATGGACCAACAGACTGAAACAGTTGAGTTGGCCGAAGGAGATGCTGAGAAATGTGTAACAATCGGGATGGACCTTGATCCTAACACCCGTTGTGAACTTATTCAGCTCCTGCGGGATAACAGAGATGTGTTTGCTTTCTCGGCAGCTGATATGCCCGGGATAAGTTCAGACCTCATCTCCCATAACCGAAGGGTCCATGCAAGGCCTCTCAAAATTGGAGATCTTGTCCTTCGGAATGCTGCTGCAGTTCAGAAAGGCCGAATCCATGGGAAGCTCTCAGCTACATGGGAGGGACCTTACGAAATATATGATGAGCTTCAGCCAGGGACATACCGACTTCGGCAGTTGGATGGAACTGAGTTGAAAAATCACTGGAACGCTGATGTACTGAAAAGATACCATGTGTAAACCCTTCGGGGCAGAACAATCTTTGTAAGTACATTTTGAACTAATGAAAGGCCTTGGAGCCGCCATTTATATAAATATTTACAACTTTTTATCCTTTCAAAATTTTCTTTGTTCTATCTACTCTTTAAGGGTTTTTTATTCAGCCTCGTCTGAAGCCTTCGCCTTCGGGTAACTGGGTTTCAGATTGCTGACAAAACCTGTCTTTTTAAAGAACACCGGTCTTTCAGCTGAAGTCAAACTTCAGTAAGACTTGTTCTCCAAAGACATGAGTCCATGGACAATTCTGGGATATTGCCTTAACTGAGCCTTGTATCCCAGAGAGCCATTATCCGAAACATTGCCTTAAGTTGGCCCTGTGTTTCGGGTATCCATTTTTCAAAGATAGACAGAAAATCAAGGATAACAGCAACAGTTGAAAATTTTTAAATCAGCCTCGTCTGAAACCTTCGCCTTCGGGTAACTGGGTTTCAGATGGCTTACAAAACTCAGTCTTTTTAAAGAACACTGGTCTTTCAGCTGAAATCAAAAATCAGTAAGACCTGTTCTCCAAAGACATGAGTCCATGGACAATTCTGGGATATTGCCTTAACTGAGCCTTGTATCCCAGAGAGCCATTATCCGAAACATTGCCTTAAGTTGGCCCTGTGTTTCGGGTATCCATTTTTCAAAGATAGACAGAAAATCAAGGATAACAGCCTTTTTAAATCAGCCTCGTCTGAAACCTTCGCCTTCGGGTAACTGGGTTTCAGATGGCTTATAAAACTCAGTCTTTTTAAAGAACACTGGTCTTTCAGCTGAAATCAAACATCAGTAAGACCTGTTCTCCAAAGACATGAGCATGGACAATTCTGGGGTATTGCCTTAACTGAGCCTTGTATCCCAGAGAGCCATTATCCGAAACATTGCCTTAAGTTGGCCCTGTGTTTCGGATACGCGTCTTCTTTAAGAACGGTGGTGTTTCAGCTGAAGTCAAACTTCAGTAAGACTTGTTCTAAAGAGGTTAGTCCCAGAAAGCTAATGTCCCAAGCATTGCCTTCAGTTGGCCCTGTGTTTCGGATATCAGCTTTCAGACAGTCAATCTTCAGTAAGACTTGTATCCCAGAAGCATTGCCTCCAGTTGGCCCTGTGTTTCGGATACCCATTTTGAAGAAGTTCAGAAATTGCTTATTTAACTGAAGTCATACTTCAATTTCTGTGGGGGCAAGAAGCACTCAGTGCAACTATGTTCGGCAGAGTTGAAGAAAAGAAACAGTAAAGCATTCAAAAATAAAGCAACTGAAGAAAAGAGCATTAGATTAATATTTCTCAAAAATTGAGCTACAAGTTCAATAATTCAGTATCGGCAGCCGCCCACAAGCGGAAAATAACAGCTGCCGAAATACGTA